GTTGGCATCGACCGCTGCTCTTGCTGTACGTAATAGTTGTTTACCTTCTTGTGTCTCCTTAAAAACAGCCTGTTGTATTGTTTCGTCAATCAGCAAGCCGGTGGTAAATAAAAGTAGAAGTATGATCTTGTTTTTCATCCTTACTGTTTTATTAAAACTCTTTTGTACATTTGTTAAGAATTGATTGAATTTTTAAATTACAAAGTCTATTTTTAATTAGTTAACACGTATTAATAAAAAATTATTTACTTTTTTCTTTTTTTGTTAACACACACCCGCAAGAGAACAGAAACAACAATTGATATGCAACCAGTCACGGTATATTTAACAAGGTACCAGCACTTGAGAGCAACCGTACAATTGTCAAATATTTTATATGGAGTTTGACAAACGTGCGGTTTAATCCTGTATACAAGTCTATGTATAAAAAATTGTAAACAATGATCAGCTGGGCAAGTGATGTCACCTTGTATTCGTGCACCCTGCAACCAGTAGGGTTTTATGAATCGAGTTTCGAATAATCGAACAATCGACTTTTTGTCGAAAAGTCGAAGTCGACTATTTTGTTCAAAAATTCGATAGCTCGACTATCGTCTTAGAAAAAGTCGAAAGTAAACATTGTAAATAAAAAGATAAGTCAAAAAAAAAATAGAAAAGTCAAAAAATCGAAAAATCGGAAAAAGTCGATAAATGTTGAAAGAAGTCGAAAAAAGTCAAAAAATCGAAAAAAGTCGAAAAATCAATTTTTTATATATCGTAAAAAGTCGAAAATTTGACTTTTTGTTTCATTTATAGAACTCTAGGAAGTCCCTACAAGAACAGTGACAGTCATTTGACCGGTCATTTGACTGACACTACTGAAGGAAATATCGATCATTGCGTAGAACAAAGTTTCTATCAAGTTCTTAAGGGCAATATGAAAAACTTGATGGAAACTTTCGTGTCCATGTGATCTTGCATCACCCTCGCACTTATGAATTATATCGACTGTAACACATATATTTGAGCTGCTCAATCTTTTGATGTTTAGTAATCAAGGATGATATAAATATTAGTCACGATTGACTGATCATGCTTGATGGATATATCCATCACAGTTAACAAATAAAAAATGATGTATTAATCGGTCATTGTTGACTAATCATACTTGATGAATATATCCGTCAAAACTGACGGCTATATCAATTTATAATAAAACACAATTTATTAATATTTTAAGATATAAATTTTTTTAATTTTATTAATATAGTAAGCATATACATAAATTAACAATCATTTCACCATTTTACATACCTCGCATGATCTTAAATCCTCTGATGCTCTTTTTAATTTGTGGAAATAAGTAAGTCTGTAAAGAAATACATATAAATATCGAAATATAAAAATCAAAAGTAAGTATTCATGTTACCATAGATTGATTAAACTCCAAAGTGTTTATCTTCAGCTCCACTTCCTGCACTTTTTTTAAATTCAGTTTATAATAATTCTCTTTATTTTTAATAATTTATAGACTTTGTAAATTTTTGTAATTTTTCGCTTCTTGATCTTTGGCTTTCGCAGAAATAATGAATTTATAACGACGAAAAATACAACACTGAAACACAGTGACAGTCATTTGATCGGTCATTTGACTGTCATTGTTGATGGTAATATAAAATTTAATAAAATATTATTCAAAATGTAGTTGTTTCACTCTTGCGTATGCAAATGCAACCTTATACCACACGTTTGGTACAGTGTCGGTCATTTTACCAGTCATTTGGCTGTCATTGTTGATGGAATTATAATTTTTTTTATAGAATTCTCTAAAAAAAATCTGCAAGTGTGTTAGTAAAATAATTTTGTATGTGTTAGTTTCGGTCATTCATTTCTTGTAGGGGTGCTTCCTAGCTGATATTAGAATTGTAACGGTAAATCATGGCACAATTATTCAGAAATATGCAACCCTACAACAATAAAAAAACTTCAGTTATTTAATGTCAAGAAACAAAAAACAAATATTTTGATGTTTGTTTTTAAAATAAAGAAAATAAAGCAGATCAAAAGTAACATTGAATCTGATATTTTTAAAAAGGTTTTTTATACACAGACTTCGCTCCAAAATGAAATAAATTGAAAGAAGTCAGAATGCTGAAAAGTCGACTTTTTGTTCACCTATACAACTCTATTTGAACCGGTAAAAACTTGGTATAAAACCGATTAGCCGCCGACAACTTACATTAGTCAGACGCCGCAAACAAAAATTAATCGGCTTTCTTATCTGCCACACAAATTATTTTATTTTACTTGTAAAATTAAAGCTGAAATAATCACCACATAAAATCTAGAAAATCTAAAGAAAATGGTTTGTAAAGCTGTTTGTGTTATCAATGGTGATGCCAAGGGTACCGTATTCTTTGAGCAAGCTGTAAGTAATTTTAAATTATTAATTAGTTACTAATTTTTCTATTCTAAATGAAAAATTTCACAATTCTCGACTGTGCATTAAAATTTTTCTATATAAAAGATTGAAGGTCAAGAACTAGTGTGTATGTAGTATACACATTATATGCAAGTCCATGTGTTGCTGTGTGTATGTTAAGCCGGCAGTGTTGTTGTTGTCTAGAGAAGGGAAAAAGTCCACAGTCATGTTTATTTGAATGTTTTTTTTATTGAGGTGATAGAAGTACTCGAAAAGAAATGATAATTTTTTTTAATTTGAATATTATCTAGTCTATTTGTGGGTATATTATTATGCAATGTATGTGTGTGTGTAATTTAAGTACTTTGTAGAATATTTAATATGTTTTTATTTACTGCGTTGTACCGAATGATTTATATCAAATTCCAATTTCATTTGCATCGTTTAGAGAGTTGCCATTAATATTAAAGTGTTTGTAATTTGGGAATGTTAAGGTGAGCCATTAGTATAATTAGAAGTAGTGTGAATCGACTTTATATCGAAAAAGAAGTCAAAAAGTGAAAAAATCGAACAAAATTCGGAAAATCACTTTTCATAAATTGCAAGTCACTTTTCATAAATTGCAAAAAGTCGACTATTTGTTTCAACTATGGAATCATAATTTGAAGTCTGTTTAAAATAGGATTCCAGTTGACTATATAGGAAACCAATTAAAAACTTAGGGCTTATGTTTCATATTTCCTAATAGACATAACTAGAGTACATTTTATATTTGTGGACTAGGTATTTATAAATCGAGTTAACTCCTAAACATTTTACTTCTTTACATATGTATACCTAATATTACACAATTTTTTCAGGATGAAAATTCTCCAGTTAAAGTAACTGGTGAAATTAATGGTTTGGCCAAGGGTTTACATGGTTTCCATGTTCACGAATTTGGTGACAATACCAACGGCTGCACCTCAGCTGGTCCACATTTCAACCCATGTGGCAAGGAACATGGTGCCCCCGGTGATGAGAATAGACATGTAGGTGATTTGGGCAATATCGAAGCTAGTGGTGATGGACCCACCAAGGTATGTTTAATTGCAATTATATTTCCGAGACAAAACTACAAGTAAGTTTTTTAATATAGGTCGACATTTCCGACAAACAAATCAGTTTGTTTGGTGCCAACAGCATTTTGGGCCGTACCGTTGTTGTACATGCCGATCCCGATGATTTGGGCAAAGGTGGCCATGAATTGAGCAAGTCTACTGGTAATGCTGGTGCTCGTATTGGTTGCGGTGTTATTGGTATTGCCAAAATTTAAATTGAATTTTGTTCAACAAAACATATATATTTCCATTATAAAGACAGCAGTGTGCTCGTTTATTTTATTTAATAAGTTTTTGAATTCTATGCATACGATTTTGGAGTCAGTTTTAATATTTAATATTAAAAGTGCTGCTATACTAGTTTGAAAATGTATCATCATATATGTACATTTGTTTAATAACCTATCTATAACTTTGTAATGATATTAACAAATAAATAACTTCATATACTGGTGTATTGAACAAATATATTGAGTTAAATGTTTTAATTTATTGTTCAGTGTTATGCGAATATTACAAAGAGAGAATTTAGCCAGAGTATAATCGAATCTAATAGCTTTTGAATAAGATTCAGAAAAGATGCAAGAGTCGATATTTTAAAAATTCGAAATTCGGTTTTTAAAAGTAGCAAAAGTCGAGTTTTTTTTTTTAAATCGAATTTTAATTTTAACTATAAAACTAAGGTTCTATTAATAGTTTGAAACAGTTTTTTGCAATTTAAGACTTTCGATTTGTTTCGAATTATTTTCAACTTTTATTTACAAAGTTAACATTTTCCCAACAAGATTTACCGACTTTTTCAACAAATTTGTCAACTTTCTTGACAAAAAGTCGATTTATAGTGTCGTTGCTACAACAACAACAACAACATTTTGTCGAAATGAATCCAAGTCGACTATTTTGTAGCAAAAAATCGACTTTGTAAATAAAAATAGTAGGAAAAGGTCGAAAAAAGTCGTATAAAATAATTAAAATCTGTTAATTTTCTACAGGCGGACTTAGTTAAGTAGAAAGGAAAACAAATAATTTTGCATCTAATTCTATCATCATGCTCTAGTAATAATAAAGGTAGTCAGTCGATTTTCTATTGTCCCCTCATTATTATTGCAATAAAAAAATCAATCCACTTTTTGATACATTTATACTCGTTTTTCTAAATATTTGTATCATTTATTGCATGTTATCGTTATATTTTTTTGTTTTTCTTTTATTAAAAATATTTTATAAATACACGTCATTTATAAATATTTTAGTTGCAATAGTGCAACTGACAACTTTTTTGTTTTATTAATTTTTTTTTTTTAAATTATAAATCTTTCTATGTTGTTTTTGTGGGAGGCCATTCATTGTATAAATAAATTGTATGTATAAATATCCTCGAGTGTGTTGATAAAACATAATAATGGTAATATTTAAATAGGATGATGCCTTTTCTTTCTTTATATATATATTTATGTATTTTGTAACTATTTTTTAAGTGTTTTAGTTGAGTGTTTGGGTTTTTTGTTAAATATATGTATGTAAATATGTATTTAGAAAAATTAAACAAAATCACAATTGAGTAAATTAACTATTATTGGCTTCAATTTCTCTGTAAACTTCACATTTGTATTCGTCCAGACCACCTTCAATAGCGCGTACAGTACGATTGCCACAAACCCACAATTCTTTGCAAACAACTTTGATTAAACGTTCGTCGTGAGAAACTAAAATGCAACCACCCTGCAAATGAAAAAATAATAAAAATTTAATATCTCTAATGACGGGCTGTGTTGTAGAAATTACCTTAAATGCATTGATGGCCCTACCCAAGGCATCTATAGTTTCTATATCTAAATGATTTGTAGGTTCATCAAGTACCAGGAAATTGGGTTCAGCTGGAAAATAGTATTTTTATTAAAATTTTGTTTTTAAGTATTAAATTATTTCAACTTACCCATGCACATTTTAGCTAAAGCTACTCGAGATTTTTGTCCTCCAGATAAACTAGCTAAACTTTGTAAAGCTAATGGACCCGAAATACCAAAACTACCCAATTGACGACGATATTCTTCATCTGGTCGTCCTGGAAAGTTTTCAGCTAAAACTCCCACACAAGTTAAATTCATATTCAAGTGATCCACATGATGCTGGGCAAAGTAACCAATGCGTAAACTGCGATGCAATACAATATTGCCCAAAGGTGTAGTCAATTGTCCCACAATAATTTTCAATAGAGTAGATTTACCGGCACCGTTTTCACCCACCTTTTTGTTGTTAAAAAAAATGTGAATTGTTTACATTTCAATATTTGTTTTTGTGTTCAATTTATAAAAACTTACAATACAAATACGAGAATCTGAATTGGCCGAAAGATTAACATTTTTAAATACCGGCAAAGGATCTTTTGGATCATATTTAAATTCAATATCCGATATGGCCAAAACTGGTGGATTTAAGGGTTCTACATCAGGAAATTTAAGTTTGGCTTCGACTTCCTTTTCAACTGGTTTCAATTCGGGCCTTAAAAAAAACAAAAATTTAATTCAATTCGCTTAAATGTTTTTGGGATTGTTCTTAAGTTCTGTTAAACATTTAACATTGTTATGAGCTTTAACATATGTAATGATGTTAACACAATAACAAAATTCTGTTAAACGATTTCTTAAGGTTTTTGTCTTTGCTAGCTAAAGCATCTTGACTCTACTTACAGTTTTTCCAACATTTTAATTTTCGATTGTACTGAAGCCGCACGATTGGCATTATAACGGAAACGATCAATAAATTCCTGAACATGAGCACGATGAGCCATTTGCGCCTCATATTCACGGCGTTGAGCTTTAAGTTTTTCATTTTTAGTCTTTTCAAATTGTTCATAGTTGCCCCTAGAAAAGGATACAGTCTATTAGTAAAAATGTTAGTTATTAATAGAGAATAGAACTCACTTGTAAGCCTCTAATTGCTGGGAATGTAAATGTATTATATCGGTTGGTACGGTATCCAAAAAGTTACGATCGTGAGATACTACCAGTATAGTGGTGGGCCAGGATTGTAAATAGTTCTCTAACCATATTATAGCTTTAATATCCAACATGTTAGTAGGTTCATCAAGTAACAACAAATCGGGTTTTGAGAAGAGAGCTCGTGCCAAAGCCAAACGCATACGCCAACCGCCGGAAAATGATTTTGTCGGTCTCGATTGCATATCGGTATCGAAACCTAAACCTTTGAGAATTACAGAAGCGCGAGCTACCGCTTTATCGGCTTCGATATTCTGTAGTTGGGCATAGATTTCACTTAGTTCGTTACTAAGCGCAGCATCTTGTGTGCCGCTATTTAATAGGGCCATAATTTCTTTTTCACGTGTTAAGAGACGAGTGCGTTCAAAGTCACATTCAAGTACACTGTCAACGGCTGGTGTATCATCACCCACCACCTCTTGTTCCACATGCAGGACAGAGATGTGTGAGGGTATTTGTAGTTGACGTTCGGATATCATACGTAGTAGAGTAGTTTTACCTAAACCATTGCGACCCACTAGACCATAACGTCGGCCAAATGACAAGAGGATATTGGCATTTTGTAGCAGGACTCTGTAAATTAAATAATTAGGCGAAAATCCTTACCATATATCTTTTATGTCTCTGTTCTTTAGGCTTTTAAGAACATACATATGTATATACATATTTAATTTCATACTTACTTTTCTCCAAAAGCTAAATCGAAATTTTCAATTTTAATATCCATTGAACGATTTGTTCCCTTGGCATCCATTTTGGTTGCTTTTTTATTTGTGACCTGAGAAGCTGTGGCTTGTTGCAGTTTAACTGGTGCCGCAGGTGCCTTAACAGCATCTTGACGTTTTTCCTGCTTTTGTTGCAGTTTAGCCTCGGCCTTAACCAATTTTTTGGTGTCAACTTTCTGCAATAAAATGAGAAAAATTTAAAAAACCAACAAAGCTTTATAACGCTAAAATTATTAATATACTTACATTAGAGTTATCCTTATTTACCAGCCATATACTATGCATATCTTTATCAACAGTTTCCATATCTTTCGCCATGTCGGCAATGTTGACAGGTGCATTTAACACTTTCTGTTCTACTGATTTGCTGTCAACCTTGATGATATTGTAGAATTGTGTGCATAAATCACGAATATTGTCTTCGCTCTTTTCCATGCTGATACTTTGCAAAATATCACCCACAGCATCGTAGATATCATCGCAACTCTCAAAATCATCCAAACTGCCGGCTAGCACGCCTTCGACATACTCCTTTAGCTCATTGTCCATGGCCGGAAATTCCTTCCTCAGTAACTCCGTTAATTGGCTCATTGTTATTTAGCTTTTTTTTTAGTTTTCTTTTTTCCAACAATGTGCTTATTTCAGTTGACCGACCTAGCCTTCACTAATATAGTGTTTTCTATTTTCACAATGTGTATCACCACTTCCACTCGCTCTCACTAGTTGCTTTTGGCAGATGACGTGTGTGTCTCTTAACAAAAATCTTGTATGGATTTGTTCTTTTTTGTTTGATTTTCAGAAATCTTGTGATTTTTAAGACTCCCTCAACTATTTTAATGAATATTCTTGGAAAAATGTGTATTAAATTTTTTTCACAAAATTTCTATCGTACAAAAAATTAATCCAACAAGCAGCACACATTCACACAACCAGGCAACAATACGTCAACTGTCAAGCAAAGACCTGCGCCGACAAATATTAACATCGGCGTTGGTTGTCACTGAAAAATTCGACGGCAGCTTAAAATCTGCTGTAGGCTGACTAAGTTTTTAGTTTTGCTTTTAAATAATTAGTTAAATAATAATATTTACAATTAAATAATTAAATGCATTTATTTTACTGGAAAATCTTCGCGGGTGATTTGCTGAAATGTTACTGTGACAGCATTGCCAGCTTAAAATTATTAGTAGAGTTGCCTAAAAGCGTATTGTATTAAATATGTAGGGGAATGTAGTAAAAAGTTTGGTTTAATAATAAACGAAAATAATCAATTTATTTCTATAGAATTTTTCGTCCGTTATATTTTTTGGGGTTTTTAAAAAATCATTTTCCATTAGGAATACAGAGATGTGTGTGAACATCAAACAGCTTTTAAATCTGTTATTGAATTTTGAACCAAATTTCACCTCAACTTCTGAGATCAATTATATTTTCATAGCAATAACCTTAAATCAGCTACAGTTTATTAAATAGAGGTCCAATTGATAATGAATCATGATCATTTGTAAAACGGTCGTAATCTAGCATACCCATTGGTCTATTTGTTAGTAGTTTATTTAAAAAACAGGGATAATTTGCGATCATTTACATATTCATATTAGAAACATAAGAAATCATGATCATTTATAAAACGATCGTAAACAAACTTACCCATTGATTTGTTTGTTAGTTTTTCATTTTATCCTCAAATAAAACAACTTTAAAATAAGATATTTTTTTTTGTAGAAAAAATATATATGTTTTTTTATTTTTATAAAAACAATATTGGAAAAAAATTATAATAATTAAAACGAAATATGTTTTAGTATTTAAAAAAAAATTAACAATGATGCATTAAACCAAGTTTTGCAATTTTATTAGAAAAAAAATGTGCTACTTAAAATTAGTTAAGTAGTTACAAAAAAATTAAAACTAGAAAAAAATATTCAGAATAAAAACAGAGTTGATTTTTTCAATTATATAAAAAACAGTAATAACACAACAGTAGATTTAAATTAAACTTAAACAACTGCGGGGGAAAAAAGGATTTGAAATAATTTCATAGAAAAACAAGAAGAAAAGAAAAATAAATAATAAATTCTAAATATTGAAAAAAGAGCAAAAAATATTAAACAATTGTGGGAAAATTGTTAGAATAAAAGGGTAAAAATTGTCTATAAATTGTTCAATAAAATGTTACAAAATATAGCGAATTAAACAATTTTTTAAAAATGTATAATTAATTAAATAAATGAATATAATATTAATAATAATAAATAAGCACAATAGATAAATGTATAATATTAATGCTAAATAATTTGTTTAAAACAAAAACGCTAAATTGTGTACAAACTATTTATGTAAATGTGTGTGTGTGTGTAATTGTAAGGTTATGTTGTTTAATTTAGTTATAAATGAAAAATCAAAAATATTGTATAAAAATGTATAACAAGGCTTTAAAAATGAAATTGTTTTTTAGCTTTTTAGCATGAAAAAAAAACCATTAAAAATACTTTACATAATAAGACTTTTTTTAAAAAAATGTTTTCTTTTTCACTTTTAATCATAATCTTCTTCTTACAAGTGCAGTTTTGCTTTTTAGTTATTGTTAGGCTTAAGGTTAAAAGATTAATAATTTAAAAAAAAATTTACAATTATATTTACTATAAAAGTTGTTATAATAAAGTTTAATAACTATTGTTATTTCTTTCTTATTTTTTCCATTTTTTTCTTTTGATACATAATAATTATGTAAACATTTAAGGTAAATTTTCATTTTTTTTTAAATTTAAAGTCATTTAGAAGCGTGTATTGTATGTATTTTTCTTTTAAATATTAGTATTTTGTTTTAGTAATTCTTAGGGTTTTAAAGAATTAAGTTAAGAGTTAGTTAATATATTACAAAAATATATTTTACAAAAAATCTTGTTGCTTTTTTTTCTGTTAAATTTACAAATAAGTATTGTATAATTTATAATTATATAATTTCTTACAGTTTTAGTTAAAAAGTCCCCGTAATTAATACACATGCACATACATTTGATAATTTTTCAAATTAATTGGAATTTGTTGAAGACGTTAGAGTTTTACGTTGTCTGGCACCACGTCCGGTTAATAAATAGGATAAATCTAAAGGTGGCTCCTGGTTGGGTGTACGTAAGGATTTTATACTTTTCAAAACACTTTCCAAGTGCAAACGTTTTTCTTTGACAGTCTGCAAAATTATAAAAAAAAAGTAATGCATTATGAGTTAATTAAACAATGTATTGACAACTTACCATTGCTGCTGGTGCACTGTGGTTTTCTGAGGCTTGATTTTGTGTTGGAGTTACAGTGGCTGGACTTTTACTTCCTTGCCTTTTTTTGTTTAATGTCTGTGGTGTTTTGTTTAGTTCTTGTCTGGAGTTTATTAAGCCACTTGTTGAGGCTGCATTCAATAATGGTGTTGTTGCCGTGGGAGTTGTTGTTTGATTTTCATTATCAGTCTTTTGCTTTTTCGGTTTTAACATAGAGGGATCAACATCGTGAGGCTGTAGGAAAAATCAGAATTTTATTTAAAAAAGAATAATTTTGGAGTTTATGTAAATATTTTGTTAATAAGTTTTGCTGCAGTTATGTTCGAAAATTCGAAATTATTATCGTTAGTTATTTTTACAGCTGTTAAAAACAGTTTCAAGTTTAAAAGATTCATAAACATTTTTTCAAAGATTAAATCTAATATTCGAAGATTTTTCGAAAATTTAAACTAATGTTCGTTTAAAGCTGTTAAAATTATCTCTAAATCATGTTTATTTATAAAAACTTAGTTTTATAGATTTAAAAGATTCCTGAATATTTTTCAAAGTTTAATGTTCGAAATTTTTTTGAAAATTCGTACTTATGTTCAAAAAGTGTTCAAAGCTGTTAAAATAATCTCTAAATCATGATTATTTATAAAAACACATTTTTATAAATTTATTTGAGTCTCATTTTGTTTATTTTTCAATTTCGAACTTAAAAATTTTGAAAATAAATTTAAATTTAATTTAAAATAATTTTAATTTTTCGTAAATTTAATTTAATAAAAATTTTGAAAATAAATTTAAATTTAATTTAAAATAATTTTAATTTTTCATAAATTTTTAAGTATTTGTAATGTAGATCAAACTATAATCTTTTTAAACGATATTCGAAAATTCAAAATTAATTTCGAAAATTCGAACTTATGTTCGAAAAAATTTTAAAGCTATTAAAATATTCTCTAATTCATGATTATTTAAAAAAAACATATTTTTATAGATTTATTTGAGTCTATTTTTTTTTTTTTCAATTTCAAACTTCAAAGATAAAATAATTTAAATTTTTCATAATTTTCAAAGTATGTATTTTAAATATAAATTAAAATATGTATACGCTTTTTAAATTATGTTCGAAATTTCGAATTTTCGAAATTAATTTCGACAATCGGTTCTAGGCACCGCAACGGCTCGGAGTTCAACGAACAACGGCCAAGGATTGCCAACTCAGCCACACCGACTTTACACAGTTACTAGAAGTGTATCATGTATATGATTGACATTTAAATGCACCCAAACGAGTTGTTTATGGAGAGAGCTTGCCTTTTGAACCTAATCTATACCATTTGAGACCAAAAGACAGTTTCACAAGTTCTTCTCAACAAATAGAGTTGAAGATGTGAAGAGAAGGACAGAAAATGGAAAAGATGATATAAGTCATGGACGAGAAGAAAGGAATAATAGAAGAGTAATGTTCTCTGTAGAAAATCATAGGATTTGATTCAAGTCCAATTTGTGGAGTTGATGTATGTTCTAGGCTCACATTTGATAGATTGTCTATAATATGAAAGCATAATTGACCCTATTTTTAGGCCCGCAGGTTTCCCAGATCTTCTTCATTGAAACAGCTCCTGCAAACTTCATTTCATGGAATTGTTATACGATTTAGGTGTATCCTAAACCTATAAGTGACTCGTAATTAAGAATTTGATACATATTCAAAAACAGAGGCAAGGTCTTCACGACCGTTTAAATGAACAATATTATACGTTTAAGTTATATCGTTTAGAAGAGAAAGAATCAATAGCTGAACCTTCCAACATTTAGCCTTTCGTATGTCGAATGTCGTATGTCGAATGTGTTGCCATCTCATTAAGAGATGCTCGACATACCAATCCGAGAGTTAATAGCCACCGAACTTATAAGTTTGAAATATTTATAAAACTTGTTATTAATTATGTCGGTATAAAGTAGTATATAAAACTCTGTAGAAATCAGTTCCCAAATAGGGGACAATTTCTGAAAAATCTTGTGTTTAAAGTATATAAGTTTAATATAAATAAAAATTATTCTCACAAATCTCGCGATCAATGATCCATTAGATTTCCCAAAATCATTGGTGTATAGGATATCTTTTGAACGGGCATGCACTTCTTCAATTTCTTACTTGCTATAATTCTTAATTCAATTCACACTTACCGCATACGTTTTAGATATCTTTAATTTTTCACTAAATTTACGGAATGCATAGCTCTTTGTACAAGTCGGATGATTTGTTTTAGCTTTCGAAAAGAAACGCGCCGATTTATCCACTCTCAACTCACAAATAAAACAATGTGTTTCATCGTTGCACTCAATGGGACGTCCCTTACAGAAGGTGGTACGATCGAGAACCCAGCAGCGACCCATTACCAAATCTATAGGCACAACTTCATAAAGTGGTACACGTACTACTTCATTGGGATAGAATTTACGTGATGGTTCGTGGAATGTTTCGTGGGGACGTAGGAAATGATGACCGAATATGAAACGTTTACCTTCATCATCCTTCCACAAACGTTCCACACGAAAAATGTCGCATTCATTGTAATCAACATCACCTATAGTTTCGTAGGTATGTTTTTTAGCCGGCACCACATTCCCACTGGCATCCTTGACTGGTATATCACGCAAAACATAAACTGCATCACCTTGACGTACTTGTAGCGAGCTGCCACGCATTAGAGTTAAATAATAACGATAGCCCTCCTCGGTGTAATCGTCTAAAGGTATTTCACGGTCTACCTCACGCGGTTCACACTGTTCACAAAGATAGTTTTCAGCATTAACATCGGCTTTAGTGCATTCGGTATGCTGCCATACCATACAGCGGGCACATTGTATCATTAAACCTTCATCTCTATAAAGACCACATATACAACGTATTATATCTTCATTCGAGGAGTTAGCTGCTATATTGTTAATCAATGGTATGGGAGAATTGGAAGTTGAACTGTTTTCTACTGCCTCCTTTTTGTGAGTATTTATTGCCAAACCTTTCTGAGTGTTATCTTCAAAATCCTTTAGCAAATTTTCGTCTTGCAACAGTTCCAAGAGTGCCGTATAGTGTTTATGTTTTTCCTCAATAAAGGCTTTTTCTAAAAGCTGTATTACTTTAAGTTTTTCTACTTCTTTTTTGCCCAACACTACTTTAGCCTCTTCAAATAATTTCTGCATATGAGTATTGAATTCGGCCGGTAGCTTATAATAACCCTGTTCGATGTTATTTTGTATGGTTTTTAAATCTGTGGCCTCTTGTTTTTGCTGGACTTTTAACGACGCCTTTTTCTTTTTATTTGTGCCAGCTGTTGATGATACTGGATTGCTTAATATGGATACCAGTGATTGTTGTTCATTCTGTGGATTTTTTATTTGTTCCAGATTTGTACAAATATCCCTTAAGATTTTGGCCATTTTAGCCATTTTTTCTACTTCTGGATCGTGTACGGCTAAAGTAAGACCTCGAGTTTTAATATTTCTTGCTGTGCAAAGGGCTGAAATCTGTGCGGCCAAGGATGCTGGTGTTGAAGGGCGTCTTTGTGTAATGGCTGCTGGTGTTGTTGTCGCGTTAGCAGTGACTGCTAATGTTGTTGCCATATTTGTGGGTGTTTGTGGTTTAGGTGTCTCACTGCGTGCCTTTGCATTTGCTTTACGTTTCGCCTTTCTGGCTCGAATTTTCTCAAAGTTTCTTACTAAGAAAATCGAATACTGTTTGATAAGTTTCTTTTCTTTTTCCGATAACGGTTGCATGCGTGTTGGAGTTGCAACATCTTTAGTTGTTTGACGTTGGGTATTTTTACGTGCTTTACGTTTGCGTTGACGTCCCTTTTGATCATCTTTCGTTGTGGTATCATTTGCAGGCTAAATAAAGAATAAATTAAATTAGATTATGTTTAGATAATTATATAGAAGGTTTCAATAATGTTGTATTTTCACATATTTTTGTCAGACTTGGACCTAAAGATTCAGCAATAACACAATGCATTTACTTATAACTTCAACCGGAAGGTTCGAAGAAAACATGCCTGAATTCGGGATCAAAATAACTTTTTAAGATTCAAAATGAATACAGACCATTACATGTACTAGTCCCGAAATGTCGGGACAACGGGAAACACACGGACAACTGTTGATGTTTAAGCGAAAATATGAACTTAGAATACTTTCCGGAAATCCGCATTCAAAGTGTGCAAACGACAATAAGTCCAATCGTCTATAAACTTTACCAGAGGTAACAAGCAGCCAACTTGTATCATAACTAGGAAAATATGACTAATGTGGACAAGGACATAACTCTTACAATTGTGTATACTCGAGAACCATGCAAAAGACTATACACTATAACTACTTCTGTAGAAGATGTCAGGATGAAGAGGAGGATGATGTCATTGACTTGCCTTAGAAGACGTTTGCTTTAAGCCCTTAGGAAAGTGAATATTTGACTTTGATTTGTCCGGGAAAGCATTAATGCTTTCATCTTTTTTTCATTTCTTCTCTCTCCTCTATTCTAACTGCTTACTCTTCATTTTTCATTCATTCTCTAAATCTAAGTACTATCCCTTTACTTCTCTTGTGTTTTTATATCTTTACAGGGACCATTACAACCCACGCACGGTTCTCTGCAGCCTGGAAACCTAACCTAACAGCCTCGCATAGAAGTCCGACATGTTATTGTTTCATTTGTTCTTGTTTACAATTCTTTGTTCTTGGTTACAAGTCTTTTAATACTCTACACTCCATTTTACTGTTCCAGGGCTAGTTGATAATGTCCCAGAACCTTATAGAAATTATCCTATAATAATGATAAACCTCCCTTCTATTTAGGTCAAGCCAGATTTTTGTATATAATTCTTAAGACCTAACACTTACCTTAGCCTCTATAGGTAATGGTTTTACTCTCTGTGTTTTACCACCAATCACTCCACGACAATTTGGTGTATTACAGCGACAAGGTTGACCTTCTGAAGGATTGAATAGCGAAAAATTATAATCGTATGTAAGTTCTTCGCCCTCGGCTATTTTACGTTTGGCAAATAAAGCCATACGACACAAACCGTTGACCGACCATTTTTGCATTTCACAATTCGGTTCACAAGAATGATTAACAAAACGACAATCACTGCCCATACGTTGACCGTCTATAACTAAACCACCATCTAAGTGCAGGCAATAGTGATGGGTATCATTTAAATAGATAGTAGCCATGCGATCCTTAAATTCACGCTCCGTTACAACTTCACCTACATACTCCAAGATATAAGTGCCTTTCTCTATGGGTAATTTAGTGCGTACACCCCAGCCCTTATTCTCGGTCATAAAACGTTCTACTCCCGGTGCTATATCGTGTTTTTGTATCTTTTGATTGCGACACTTTTCACGTGTCGGACAATTTGAGGGTGAACACTCGGTGTAGACCATGCGATTAAGACAATTATCACCACAACCCACATCTGGTTTGCAATTACACATGGGATGATCGTTTGCCGCTATGGGCGGTGGCTTTACATTCTCCGCGTAGATATTGGTGCGTATTTTACGGAAATTCCAAGATGGCACTGTAATGCGATTGGGTAGTTTAGAGTTCTTATAAGCCCACCATATATCGTAAGGTAATTCGAAATCATATTGTGTACGTCGCAAATATTTCTCACAATAGGGTGGTGGCGGTAGTAGAGGTCCCTTAAAAACTTCTACTTCCTTGCTTGTATTAACAACTTCTGTACAGTTTGTAGTTGTGGTTTTATCTAGGTCTGCTTTTTTCTCATTGTCTTTTTTATTAGCATTTCTCTTGGTGGCGGTTTGATTGACTTTAAAATAATCCGAAAATAAACCAGCTGGTAAATAGGTTTTTCTAACAGGTTTTATTTTTTTGGTAACAGAAGAATTTGTGGATGATTTCTCATCGCTGGTATCGCTAGCTTCAGTGTCACCGTTAAGGGTGTTTAATTGACTCTCGCTTATGGGTAGAATGTCTTGCTCCAAATAATCTATATTACAGTTTTTGGCTTTTGCATCCATTTCAATTTCTTCAGCAGTGCGGGGAATTTCTGTAATAACGGGTTGAGTGGTGGCTGGAAGAGTTACCGGACTTTTCCTAGCTGCCAGAGGATGTATGGAATTTCGTCGTTTTAGTTTTATTTTACAACTTAAAATACTTTTAGGATCTACCCCAGCCGGCAACTTGATGTTGGCTTCTAAAAGTGACTTTGCAGTTTTCGAGACGAGAGATTTTCTTGAAGGTGAGGACTTACTGCTGGTGTCTTTAATATCAGCCACTGTTTTAGTTCGTCTGGCTCTAGAAGCCAAAGGTTTGTCATCATCATCTGCTTCATGCTGCTGCTGTTGTTGTTGTTGTTGTGGTTGTTCCTTTTTGTCTGGTTCTGTTATTGTTTTTGATTCCTTGAATGCAGCTGGTTTTTCTTCTTTTAGCGATTTCCTTTTAGTTACGTGTCTTGTGTGCCTAGTTTTAGGTGTTGCTAAAGCTTCGGCAGACTGCTGTAATTCTTTAGGGGATGTCTTATCTCTACTACTTAGGGGAGATTCTTGCAATCTTTCGAGTGCTACTACTGATAGTCTGGGAGTTCTATTATTACGTTCGAGAAATGTTTGCGAAGTTTCACCTTGTTGTGGCACACGATCACATTGTTTTTCTGGAGTTTTAACACCAACCTCTTTGCTGTTTGTGTTGTCCACCGTTTGTTCCAGCTGTCCGTTGACTTCCACATTAAGGTTTTCATTTATTTTGCGCTTTTTACGTTTTTTGGTAGGAAAACCAGTACGATTAATTTTACGTTTTCTTCTCAAAATCAAATTACCACCAGTTTTGTTGAGCAAACTTTCGACCACACGATTTCCGCTACTTTTCGCTGTAGCATCCGCAAAGCCTTTATTCAAGTCCATAAGTAAGGGGGAATCTACCTCGGATTTTGTTATTATATTTGAGGTGGCTTCGCTATACTTTGTTATGGGAGGTATTTGTATTTCTAATTCCACTGAAGGCTCAAATACTCCGGGCGGGGGACAGGAAGATGTTTCCGATTCTATTTGTAAAGACGTAGAAACATTGGACTTTGATTTTGTTATTTCCTCACCATGTGTAGTGGCAATTTTCGAAACCACACCCTCTAAACGAGATCTCTTTTTATGAACAGCTTCTGTTACTTGTTTAAGGCTATTAAGGGATTGCGGACTTATGTCCAAAAGTTTGCCACCACTAATGGAATTGGGATCGCCTACAGTTACTCTTAGAGGTGAAAGTGTACTTGCGGTTTTATTACTATTCGAATCCTCATTGAGTGTGTGGGGAGGTTGCTGCAACAGATGACGTTTTTTGGGTGTTAAATTAGCTTTTGCTGTTTTGGCATTAAACTGCTGTTGAGATTTTGTATTCGCTGTGCTTTTTGCAGCAGCAGCGGCTGCTGCCCAGGCTTCTGCATTGTTGGCGAATAATTTTGCTGCCACGGCCACTGCTACCTCGCTGGATTTCTCTCCAGGTGTTAGCAAATAATGGCGCTTTTTAAGAGGCAATTTATGATCATCGGGGCTAGAACTACTGGCTTTTTTGTGTCTCCTTTTCGAAGAGCTACCTTGGCCAGAACTTGATCCCGGCGTTAAGGAATTACTTTCTGCTCTGGCCGAAAGCATGGCGAAATCCAAGTTTTCTGATATTTTTCTTTTCTTTACAGATCTTTTATCACGAGAGTCGCGTTTGCTGGAACTTGCAGCAGATGTAGAAGCTGCTGCAGCTGCTGCCGCCAAACTTTGTTGCAATTTTGTGGCTTCCGCCATAAGCTTTTCCTTTTGTGATAAATTGCCTCCAGTTAGCTTGTCGGTAATACTAGAACTATGTATTTTACATCTTGATGAAAAGGTATTGGTTAAAATTTCTATTTCGGTTAAAAGTTTCGAATCAATAACGGAATTTTTACTAGAGGAAGAATTATGAAAACGAAAGTTTTTACGTTTGCGTCGTCGTTTTAGCTTTGTGGTACCCGCCGAGTAGTAAGAACTGCAAAAACTTGCCACAGAAGATCTGCGAGACTTTATCTTTCTGGCGGTTTGATTACTGCCAGGCAATTGCAAAAGATCGTGAGCAAATTCTGATGTTGTGGAGTTTTTGCGCTGCAGTAGCGTTATTTTAGCTGGAGTTTGGGGTAAATCCGTGGCAACATCAAAGATGCGTGTGTTATTATGGCTGATACTGGCAAAAGAGTTGTGGGAATTGTGTTGACCACTGGAACCTCGACCGAAATATTCGCCGGTCGCTATGTAACGATTAATTTCACCATATTTTTTGGAAGCACTTGTCGTAGGCAGTTTCTCCAGCGACGGCTTGCATACATATTCATTAGATTCCTCACTACTTTGGCCTAATGACAAGCCAGCCAATTGTAAAATGTCTTGTTCGTCTTTTAAAGAACCCATCGACTTTTGCATAATGGAGGCTCGTCGTTTTCTACGAAATTTCGATGATTTCGTACTCCCCAAAACACTTTCTTTGCAATCACTGCGATAACCACAAGATTTGGCTCTTGATTTACGCGAAGCACAACTTTTGGTGCTGTAGCGACTCTTGCAGCTGGCATCACTTTTATAGCCCGAGTTATGGGAGGCATGTTTGGAGTGACGCGATAAACGAAACGAGGAGGTGCCATAATCAGAGACATAACCACTTTTAGCGGCCAAAACTTTACTACACACTGTAGACTTACTGGAGCGTTCTCTCACCCGTTCATCAGCTCCACCATCACTTTTATAGCCAGTAGTGCTGCACACACTGGGTCGACGAAATTTGCGGTTTACATCGATTTTTCGCCAAACCGGATCCAATTGCATATCATCCTTAGAGGTTTGCTGTTGAGCCTGTGCTGAAGCCAATTTCTGTTTCTCACTGACACTTGCAATAGCGGCGCTCGTTGATTGTCTTCTCTTATTACGTGGCGGGGGATATAGAACTCTTTCAGTGGCATACATTCTCTTATCCAGTAAGGCAATATCAATTTTTGGTTTGTTAGTGGAAGATGTGGATGAAGTCTCCGTCGTGTGTTTTTCCGGCGTGGTTATTAGGTTTTTATTTGGTGAATTTGTTGATGATGTATTCTCATTGGCTGACGATGAGGCTAATGTAGTGCAGGGATGCGGTGATGTACTTTGCGTTGAAACACTGGTGGTAGATATTACACCAGAATCAGCTGATTCATTAATATTCGAGTTTTTGTTATTTGCATGGACAGGAGACATAGAGTTTAAGATTAATTCATGTTCTTTATCCGGTTTTTTAGGTCGTCCACGTCGTTTTTTATTATTGCTCGCTGAAGACGAAGCTATACTGTCAGACTGGGAGTTTGTATTGATTGTTTGTAGCAGAATATCATTTTGTATAAACGAATTCTTCGCCTTAACACTATCACTTGATTTGGGGGTTTGTTGTCCTAGCATTTGAGTTTTTTCCATAAAATCTTGCAGTAACGTTGACTGATATTGGGGTAAATGCTTCGTTTTAGCTTTGTGAAAGTTTGAAGTTGATAAATTATCATCTTCATCAGTCTCTCCCACCACTCTTTCAATTGCGGCGCGAACATTAGGCAATTCATTGTCACTGCTCGATAAACCAATGTGTTCATTGCCCTGCTGCAATGAGTTTAAGGTAGAGTTTAAAGGAGCGGAGGTCGTCGTACTTAAGTTGCTCGTTAAATTTTTTGAGTTTATTGCTGTTAACAATAATCTAGGAGCTCTTTGTGTAATGGCCTCTACGTTTGTTACCAATGATAACTTTTGCGCCAAAGGTTCATCTTCAGAATCAGTAGAGAAGGGATTTTCTAGGGCAATTTCTATTGGCTTTAACGTTTTTAAAGCTCTTTTTGTTTCATTTGCTTTAAGCAGTACTTTTTTACGTTTTATTTTTCTTTTCGATATTTTTTCTTGACCCACAGTTGCTATTGTTGTATTTGTAGCCTCTGAGCAACCCGAATCTGTAGCATCACTTAAACAGGCCATTGTTGTTGTGGCAACACCCGTCGCTGGCATTGGTAATGGCAATTGTAATATATCTTTGCGATTTTTCGACAAGGGATTGACTATGACAGTAGACATATTTGCCGTTTTCGTTTCAGCCTTATTGCGAGTTGGTGAAATTTTCACCTTTAACGTTTCGAGCGTATTATTGTTATTTTTCAATAATGTTTTATGTTCTTTTAAATTTTTGGATTTTGTATAATACGTTTTCTGTAAGGCCGTAGGATTCACTACAATATTTGGCGTACTGACAGGTGCTTTAGACGCTGCTGCTGTTGCAGTCGCCGTTATTGTGGTTGTAGGTCGTATGGCAGAAATTTTCATTCGTAAACAACCATCGGAATCTGTACGTTGTATACTGAATTGTGTTGCTAATGTAATATTCGATAAATTGCAGATGCTGTTGTTGGAGTTACTGCTGCTACTACTACTACCGCTGCTGCTGCTGTTGCCACCGACGATATTCGCTGCTGCCTGTGTTGTTGCTGCTGCTGCTGTTGTATTAGAGTTTTTCTTCTTTTCATGTCGTTTCTTATGTTTATCTTTTTGTTGTGCATTCTCATAGCCGTGCTAAAATAAGTAATATATACATTTTATAAATTAAATTTCTAATAATATAGGAAAAATTTTATTTATACCTTTTGTTCATGTGTGTTTTCTTCTTTTCTTTGCTGATGCTGCTTTTCCGAAACATTCCTTGATGTTGCATCATTCAATGTGCTCATTATTTATTTAAAACAAACCTCTGAAAATAATGTAAGAAGAATGTTTTCTTAGTTTAAATCATCTTGGAATCAACAAGTTTATTTCTTTGCTGAATGGTTTTAAATAAATTTAATAGAAATTTGTTTGGCGACATAAATTTAGAATAAAAATTGGTCGAAACATGTGGTGATGATAAAATCTCAAGAAACCGTTACTTTAACAAAGCTTTAAACAAAAACCCAAGGAGAGAGACATTTTTTAATTCTTTAAAGGAGAAATAGTGATTGTTTGATGTGACTTTAAAAATATAAGGGAAGCTGAGTCCAAACTGAAAACGTCGAGTGCAAAAGACAAAACAATGGTGGGACAACAAATTGTGCAAGTAGAACTGTAGCCTGGGTCACACTAAAGCTGCTAGGGTGTTTTTTTTTTATTGCAGTAATAAATATCTTATTTTATAGTTTTGTTGAGCAAGCATTATCATAGACGTGAAGTTGTTAACCGCCATTGCTACTCAGATCTCACAAGGCATAAATCAGCAGAGGCCCTGTGAAAGGACGGTCCACGTGGCTCTTGACCTGTCAAATGACTTTGACACTGTCAGTCATGCCACACTTTTCAAAGATATCCTGGAAGTTATGTCATCCCATCTTTAACATCACTCAGTTGGATGCTCCCCCGAGGCATGCCTTCCTGACATCTTCGTATATACGAGGAAAACATATGCAGATATGTGCAGGATCCATTGGATCAGTCCTCGTATATGGCAGCTTTGAACGACATTTATAGAGTACTTATAGGTCGCCCATAGCAGGCACTGAAGAAAATCTGCCGCGGAAAACAGGAGTAGTTCTAGCATAACTACGATCGGGATGGAGCAACAGGCTCAATGCCTACTAGTCACGTATAGACCGTGCAGTCCCCAACGAATGTGCTGCATGTGGTCAGGGTTCCCATGACACCCACCACATATTCAACTGCCCAGTCAACCCTACTTCGCTCCGTCCAATGGATTTATCGATGCATCCAGTTGAAGTAGCTGAATTTTTAGGCCTGGACATTGACTAGATTATTGTATAGTTTTAACTGTTACAACAACAACAATAGACATAAAGACTAATATAGTGCAAAAAATAGATGATATACTTTGGATTGAAAAATTACTATTGGAATGAGACCCGAAACAGTTTATTCATTTAAATTTAAGTTTTTGTTCATTGTTTGGACAGAAATATTATGCTAATGCTGATTTCATGTACTTTATCCGGCTTTTTAGGGCGCAGGCTGCGCTTTCTACTATTAATTGCAAAAGATAAAGTTATATAGTCAAAATGGAAGTCTATATTTGGTGGTTATTGTTAGTCTCAGATTTAAATGGCTAGATTTAAAACACTAGTAGATAGGTATAGATTTATTAGTTTTTTTTTAATATAAAACTTAAGGGTTCCCAAATGGTTATATACTTCGCCTGCTTTCTTTTCTCTTAAATAACATAATAGAGTACATAAATAACGGAAACAAGTTAAGGCGGAAGTTTTTGAGCATTGAAAGATCTGGTGCTAAAATCTTATGTGTTTGGCGTCCAGAAAAGTACACGAGGTACATTTGTCTTTGTAGATGTTAGCAAACTGTAAATTTAGACTCGATGTAGAATGTAAAGGTGTGCTTTCTTGTACAAATATAGTCCAGACCAACTCTTTTTCGAATTTAAATAAAATGTGGTTTATGATTTATTTCTCGAACAAGAATTTTACATAATTTCTACTAAGGTTTGACAGTTTAGTAACTCAATAGACTATGAAAGAACTTTACTTTTATGACGAAAAAATTTTTATTTTCATAACAACGTATAAATAACTACAGATTAAACAATTTTAATACCTTTTTCTTAATACAAATTTATGAATAATTATAAAAAAAATCGATTGCACGAATTAAACAAAAATGTACATAAATTTATAAATTTTTAAGACATCACAGTAAAAGAAGAACTAACAATAATAATAATAACAACAACTACATAGAAATGCACAAAGACTGAAAATACATACAAAATTAAAAAAATAACAAGAAAAACAAGAGCATAAAATGAAATAAAACCTGATATTAAAAAAAGGTGAATACGTGTGATAAAGATAAATTTTGAAAGTGTAATTGACACTACGAATGCAAATTTGGCAGGCAGAAAAGAAAGAGAATACAAAAAAAAAAAAAAAAAAAAACGCAAAATAAAGTAGGTATGAAAATATATTTAGATGTTTCAACTCGAATGTAATGATACCCTATAATTAATTAATCCATAAAGTACTTTTTGGAATTTTTTTGGCAGATTGTCATCTAATGCTCAGTTGTAGAGTAATATTTATTTGCAATATAGTTGTTAACGACTGACAGCGTTTCAATACATGCTTAAGTCGAAGCCAACGGACTATAATTTAGTGTTGTTACAAACATCAGAACAAAGACGTTCTACCCTCCTAACTACAATATTGTAGGGAATTTAAAAAACGCGCGGGGCTTAATTCATTTTTATTAATCAACCACAAGCCCAACCTAATAAGAGGGGAAATAAAGAAAACAAGGGGACTATGCAAAACAGACATGTACGTACATATGTACATACATACGTACGTACGTACATACACCCAGAGATATTTACATAGGTACTTGAAAGGATAATAAAACAACAAGAACAATAACAACAAATTAGACATACCAAAAAATAAAACAACTATCAAAGGACTGACGACAGTCTACTTTAAACAACATCAGTCAGCCAGGCGTAAATGGCAGATGTTTTTTCTTTTCATTTTATTATATCATGGTAACCATAAAGCGTATATTGTTTAAAAGTTATCCACGAAAAAAAAACTTATTTTGTATTATGCATTGTACATTTTCTTCTAATAGTTATGAAATTAGGTCACCATAAATATTATAGATTTTATATTTCTCATGGCCATTATTAGTCCCAGACTGACTGGTCATGCAAAATCTACTGTTAGCCAAAGTATTCTTTTCTATTGCTAATAAAATTTTTCACCTCAAACTATAATTTTAGGGAATGTTATAAAACAAAGGAATTTTTTAATAGCTATGATACACACATCATACTTTATTTGTAAAAAAAAACTTTCATTTTTTCATAATTTTTTTTACTTACACTATTATTATAATTTTCATGCATTAGCCGTAAAATATTTTAAACATTTGTTAAACACTCTTATTTTTTCTTTATTTTAATTTTATTTTCTTTTGTATTGTATTGTATACTTTTTTATTTGAAATTAAAATAATAATAAAAAATAAACAAATAAATAAACTCTACACTTAAAAATTTTTTTCTCTTGAACTATTTCTATTTTTCTTTTACTTTTTTCTCTTTATATTTGTTTTTTCTTTTTTCTTTTCTCGAATGCACATTTACATTCTTAAAATGGCGCCGTTTTTCTACTTTTAGTGTAGAGGGAAAAAGCGTCGACAAAAAAATTTCACTTTTGCTACGCAGCACAACTTGCGAGATTTTCACTTGTATTTTATGCTTTATATTTTAGAAATTTGCATTGTATTTTTATATCACTTTAAAGCTTTGCTTTTAAATTATTGATTTTTAATAAATTTATTAATTAATTTTTATAATTTCCCCGTAAATTTTATTATTAAAAAACTAAAGTTATGAAAATCGCACACGAAAATAAAAATGAAAGAAAAACACTAAAACAGAGTTGTAAAAAAGTGTAGTAAATTATTATACAGCTGTGCTGGTATGCCCAGCAAACAAATAATTATGATTTATAATAAAATTATTAGGAATATTAACAAAAACCAATAATTTTAATAAAAGAAACCTTAAATAATTTAATAATATTACATTTAAAGCTTATTTTTTGTCTAATCAAGTGTTTATACAGATAAAGAAAAGTGATAAACAGCTGTAATATTACAAAAATCGCTATAATTTCCTTTACCGCTAAAATACTTTTAAAACTTGCTTTACAGAACTAGACTAACGCTTCATTAGCATTATTTTCTTGCACTGAACGTACTACTTTGAAAAAATCAACAATTGTTAATTTTTCCTGCTGCAATTAATTCTACTTTTACAAAAACTAATAGAAATTTGACAAAATAATGAGTTCAACATCTAACGCAACGGCGGGTGATATGTTGTATGGTACCACCTTATCGGCGGAGTCTATGAAAGTCATTGCCGAAAGTATTGGTGTCGGTTCTTTGCCAGACGATGCCGCTAAAGAATTGGCTGAAGATGTTTCATATAAAATCAAGAGGATAGTGCAGGATGCTGCAAAATTTATGCATCATTCCAAAAGAGATAAACTAATACTCAGTGATATAGATCATGCTCTCAAAGTGCGCAACATTGAGCCTCAATATGGTTTTACCGCCAACGATTTTATACCCTTTCGTTTTGCTTCTGGCGGGGGGCGAGAATTGCATTTTATTGAGGAGAAAGAAATGGATTTAAGTGAAATTGTTCAAAGTAACGTTCCAAAAGTACCCTTGGATATAACACTTAGAACTCACTGGTTGGCAGTGGATGGCATACAACCCACTATACCAGAAAATCCTCCACCTCTATCGAAAGATTTGCAAGCCTTGGATTCGGTTAATCCAGTTGTTAAACTAGAACAGGGTGTTACCAAGGATACAGCAGGCAAGCCGGCTACCGGCAAAATTCATAAATTGAAAAATGTCGAAACAGTGCATGTCAAGCAATTGGCTACTCATGAATTGTCTGTGGAACAACAGTTGTACTACAAAGAAATTACAGAAGCATGTGTGGGTTCAGATGAACCACGGCGTGCAGAAGCTTTACAATCTTTGGCTTCGGATCCAGGTCTACATGAAATGTTGCCGCGTATGTGCACTTTTATAGCGGAAGGTGTTAAAGTCAATGTAGTGCAAAATAATTTGGCTTTACTTATTTATTTGATGCGCATGGTAAAGGCTTTATTGGATAATCCTTCATTATATTTGGAAAAATATGTAAGTACATTATTTGCCTAAAAAAAAACATCCAAACTTATGTATTATCAATTTTTTTCTTCAGCTACATGAACTTATACCCTCCGTAACCACTTGCATTGTGTCTAAACAACTGTGTATGCGTCCCGAATTGGATAACCACTGGGCCTTGCGTGATTTTGCTTCACGTCTTATGTCACAAATTTGCAAAACCTTTAATACTTCCACCAATAATCTACAAACACGTGTTACACGCATCTTTAGCAAAGCTTTACAAAATGATAAAACCCATTTGTCTTCATTATATGGTTCCATAGCAGGACTCTCTGAATTGGGTGCTGAGGTTATAAAAGTTTTTATCATACCACGTCTAAAGTTTATATCCGAACGAATTGAGGGACATTTACTGGGTTCATCGCAAAGTAATACCGATAAGACTGCTGCTGGTCATATACGAGCAATGTTGCAAAAAGTATGTCCTCCTATTTTAAAACAAATACGTAATCCTCCAGATTTCTCGGATGAATATAAGTAAGTTGTTAGAAAATAAAAACTGATTTTGCTTTATTGTAATTTAATTTTTTGTTTAATTACTTTCAGAAATGATTTTGGTTTTCTGGGTCCCTCTTTATGCCAGGCAGTGGTAAAAGCTCGTAATGCTCCTTCTACTGCCACAGTAACTGGGCCATCTACGATTTCAAGTGGCCCCATAACATCGGCTGCTCAAACTGCAACAACCATTGGCAGACCACAAGTAACACAAATCACACCACAAAGGCAACCGTAAGTAGATGTAAAAATATTTATGTATACAACAGATATCTAAGGAATTGTAGAACCAATATAGCGGGTCTATATTTATAAGGTGGTGCTTGCCTTAGTTCAGGAACCTTGCATCCTGTACTCAAGAAGATTTGGCAAGATTAGAGACTGTATGAGAAAACGGGAAACTGGATTTCATACAAGACCTCTGCAAATAGATTTAAAACTGGGTAATAAATGCAAAGCGCAAATCCTGGAGAACCTTCTGTAGCGACGTAGAATCATCCACCGATACCAGTCGAATTCGTAAGATCTTATCGTCAACTCCTCCGAGTTTTATTCAGTAAAGTGGTGTTTATCTATAATAGTGCAAAATATCTAGGAGCCATCCTTGATTCGAAACTATCATGGTATTTGAACACTCAATCCAGAGTGAACAAAACGGCTGCGGACCTATACTCATGCAGAAGAGCAATAGGGAAGGCCTGGCTTATAAACTATAAGAATATCAAAAAGCTCTTTGACATGGTAGTAAAGCCCATACTGTTGTATGGTGCACTTGTCTGGTGGAAATCCTTACGAATGCATGTCCACCGGAAAATATTTGAAAAAATTCTTCCGGCATTGGCGCTAATGGTAACTGGTACCACTCCATCAAATGCTCTTTTTTGTCATGATAAACTAGTTACCTGTTGATCTAATGGTTCAAGAGGTTTCCATCAACTCAGCGATTAGACTCAGGACAATCGGTATGAGGCATATGACTCAGTCAGGCCACTCTACCAGACAACATTGACTACTGCACCCTCAAACAATCTTTTGTAAGAAGCATTTCAGTGTCGATTCAACACGATCTAAATGTGATGGAATCAATCCTCCCTGATGGTTCGTATAAGATTTTCACCGATAGAATCCTTTATTCGTGCAACAATCTGGTTTGAATAGGATTTCAGAGTAATGAGGTCGAAGTGTGCAGCTTTCTCTTTACAAGTATCACGAAGGTATTAATGATATGGACCCAAGTATGTCTCTAGTGTTCCTACCTAACGGTGGAACATTGGCTTCTCTTTCTCTTAATTCTAGCTACAGATAATGAGAGATCTTGTCATTAGATTGGCTATAGAATAGTCAATAAACTAATCCATGGGATACTGGTAATAAAATATTTCGTATAACAGTCATTTGACTGGTCCATATATTCCTTATGGGTCGTTGGAATAACGTTGTACTTTTAGAAATGGATTTGTATTTAAAGAAGTACAGTTGTAGCAATTTTGCCAACCCTGTTGAGCGCCCATAAAAATGAACAAGGCGAAACGAAACGCCGTTATCAAACTTCACAACCTCCCAGTAGCGCAGACAATACAGATCTGTACCTAAGCTGAAGTTAACGATGTCATGTGATCCTGTTGAAGTAGCACAAAGTTTATGCCTGGACATCGATAGAGAACCTCCTGAATAAGTTATATAGTTTTAGCTGTTACAAAAACATATACGGGATGGCCTGGCCTGTGTAATTTACTTAGTTAATGTTTAGCAAAGTATCACAAATTGTTTGCTTGATTAAAATCATTAGCAAAGATTAAGCACGTATGTACTTATTTATTAAGTTTTTTTAGCAAAATTAGAACGACTATTAAAAGCATTATGAAAGAAAATTTTAATTTAAGAAACCTTAAATTGTCCTACAGAAATCCAATTCATCAAAGGGAATTGAATTGAGAAAATTAAGAAATTTATAGTTTCCAATTTTCATCGAATATCAAGTATAGCTCAATTCAAAAGGAAATATCTTTCAAAAACTCATATACACACATGACTACATACATAAACGCATGCAAAGATGTATGCATTCAATAACAATAAACTTGACCTTAATTTGATTTCATATTGTCTTTATTATATTAAAGTGTTTTGTTAACAATTTACTTATGTCAATAATGTTATTTATACATATTATCTTTTACAGGAGCCCTGTGGTAACCACTCTACCCCAAATACGTGGTATTCAAACTATACAGCCTATACAACAACAACAACAGCAGCAGCAGCAACAAACCCCAACCGCACCACCAGCACAGAAATTTGTTATAGTATCACAGGCACAGCAACAGATAATACAACAGCCTGTTCAAACAATACAATTACAACAAACACAGCCACAACAACAACAACAACAGCAGCAGACACTATATCAACAACGTCCATCTACACCACAATCGGTATTATTAACAACAAACACCCAAACACCATTAAATGGTGCTGGGGGTGGTGGTAGTAGTGTTGTTGGCGGACTTGGTGGTAATGGTTCTAACTCAGGCAATAATAGCCTTCTAGGTAATATAGGCAGTACTGTTGTTATTGGCAGCAGCAGTAGTGGAAGTAGTATTGTTGCAAATAGTATCTTAAATCGAAGTGAAAGGGTAAGAATGACACAATCTGGTTGTTCAAAACAATAGTAGTAGTCAGCAATCTTAGCACTATGGGTCAGAAGAAGCAATAATTTTCATATAAAAATAACTCAAATATATTTTGGTGGTTATGGGATGAAATTTAAGATTTTACTCCAACATTTTCTTGGTCTATCTGTTCTGCTTTTGGAATGAAATTTTTGCAAAATTTAAATAAGCTTTCTTTCTCTTATCCGTCCCATAGTGCAAACATTCACTTTCCATCACACACATACATTTCAGTAACTATCTAGCCAAATTACCCATTCTAACATAGACTAATTTATGATTTCCGCTTTTATTTTGTTTCTTTTGTTATATTTTTTCTTTTAGACATCTGTTGATTCCAATTCTATTATCATTGAAACAGAAGAAGTTCGACCACCACCGGAACTAGATGATCTCTCACATTTGGAATAGCTAAGGAAGATTTAATAAGTTTTATTATTTTATTAATATTTCAAAGAATTTAAAACTTTGCTGGTAAAGAAATACGTGGAGAATACTTATAATCATAATAAATAATAACAACAAAAAACAAACATATTTAATTTATAACTGATACTTGATAACTAAAATTTTATAGGTTTATTATTGCTTTTATCTTAACACGCAAGAACAACGCATGTGCTGTCCTATATGGATATTGATTTTTGTTTTTCTCACTCTGCCTTAACCTAATACAAACTTCATTTGATTATGTCTGTCGAACGGGGGATGGTTACCCAGCGAATGCATATAGATGTATCCGTAAATTTGTTCAATTGCTTCGAAATCTAAACTTAAAAGAACTGCCACTATCTTTTTGCTAATTTGATAGTGGCTCCTCTAAAATCCATATCAAAATTTTTACTTCATCACCATACTCCACACAGATGATAGGGTCGCGATATCCTTCGGCGAAAACATCATATCCGACCCCAAACGCTGTTCGAACTACTTTGCTGAGTCAATGACATACCATATGTTTTTACAATGAGCGAGTTTATGAAGGTCATCAGAGATGCTAAATCATCAAAAGCTATTGGTCGAGACGTTCACGTTGTTGTTAACCGGGTTGTATGACTGGGATCTTTCCAAACGTCCTCAATTTGTCGGTATCAACCCTGATAATACCTGAGGTCTAGAAATTGGGTACGGTTGTTCCCTTGCTGAAACCAGGGAGAATCGTACAGGCCAATCTCTTTCCTGTCACCTTGTCAAAAACTTGACCGGAATTACAACAACATCTATATCCAGCAGATCATCAACAGCAGCAGTTTTAACAGCCATCACCACACCAGTTTGTCGCGGTCTTAATCAAGCTCGATCGTCAACGTGTGACGTTCTTGTGGCACTCTACCTATCAACAGTTTTTGATGCGGTCAATTACGCCATTCTCTTCAGAGATATTTCCACATCTGATCAGGTTAGTAAATTACATTTGTGAACGACAGTCATTCGTGGAGTTTAAGAACCAGAGATCAAATCCCGGTAGATTGAAATTGTGAGTATCTTAAGGTGGAGTCCTTTTGCGATCCTGTTTAATTTCTATATGTCTAAACTCCCAACACTCCCTGGCGGTATGCAAATAATATCTTACGCCAATGACTGATATTGGCCACGGGCTTCTTATGTGATCTTTCCAACATCTTCCGTTCGAGAAATTTAAAAATATCACCAACAAAATCCTCAACAACTAGAACATCCAGTTCTAGCAATACAAAAGAAGTATTGCTAGAACTGGATGTGGCACTTGATGGCAAAAAATTCACCCTAAAATACTTGGTGTCACATTCGATAGTCTTCTTATGTCCTCCGGACACACCACTGCAATCTCCAACAAAATATGAAGTAGAAACAAGGTACTCAAGTCTCTACGCCAATCGAACGATTTGGCCGGTCAGTGGTTATCTACGCAGCGCCTGTGTGGACTTCGAGAGTTAGCGACACGTAGTGGAAGAAGCTTCAAAGCTGTCCTAACACATTTAGATTGAGGAACACCATGCTATCAAAACAGTTCTTAAGGCAGAAGAAAATCTCATGTTATCTCAGAGAATTCATCACAATATATAAAACTTGCTTTGGAAATCAACGAAATTCGTTTGGAACGTATTTTGGAATTCCATTTCCAAGCAATTGTTCTGATAATCGGTCTACGCAAAAGCATCGAAAATACATTTGGATGTATCCGCGAAAGGAATCATGGATCATAATCAGATGTTTGCGGAAACTCGACAGATGACATGACAACATGACATTTGTAATCAATAACACATTACGTCGTCTAACCGAGCTAGTCTTCTCATGTATATAATACACATTAGGCATCATAACACTCCGATTCGGAGTACATTGCTTTGGTCCGTTTGTAAAACTCATCATTGTGTGTCGCAGAGCAATGATGCCCATACTGGGGCTGTATAATGGAGGAGAGAATGACTAGATGTTTGGTAGATTTCTACAAATGTTTCCTTTTACATGCCCTAAGAGCTTTAAAGATCTTGTTCCTAATTCTAACCTTTTGTTTGATATATGCTGCGTGTCCTGAGAAGACAGAAAACACCCTTTTGTATTAAAAGGGTGTTGTATTTTCAGTTATGTTACTTAGATAACTTCCCTTCATAGCATGATTTAAGTGTTTTTCAGGGGTGGCATAAGGATATTGTTGGGGTGGTTGGGGGTTTTCATAGTGTAGTGTTTTATTCAACACGCATTAGTAGGTGAAAATACCAATACACACAAACACACACAAAGACGAGTGAGAGTGTAAGGAACGTAAAACTGCAAACCGAGAATACATTTTTCATTATACAGAAGTAGTTTATAGATACAGCAGTAAACATCTAAGATACAAAATTAAAACAAAAAAAAAAAAAATTACATATTTATTCTATTCACAAAAACCACGGATTTTTATAAAAATTTTATAAAATTCAAACAAAATAATAATAAAAAAATCACCAGAAAATGCGTGCTCATTTCGCTAGCGACATTCCTGCTTCACCCGATACCGATGATGGCTTACAGTCAGCAGATGCCATCGACACAAAGGAGCCACAGCCCAAGGTGGCGTCTGTCAACGAAACAGACAATTTATTACAGGATCGTATATTAGAATTTAAAAGTGATTCATCTAAAATGGCTGTGGTTGGTGAATTTATCGATGATGTCTTACAAAAAGCCGAAGAAGAGGCCAACAAACAACAAAAGGACAAACATAAAAATTCGCAACAGGTTTGTGTTCAAGAATTTTTTTATTAAAAATTCCTTTAATCACAAACTAATTTTTAATACTTTTTACTTTTTCACTTTTTGCAGGGTAAAAATAAAACACAAAAACAGAGTAAGTTGTATTTAAAATTTTTCTTTTATAATTTGATTTTATGGAAATTTAAAGTCTTTTGGTGAATAATCCCGTACACATTTAGTCACATAGAATATACGTTCGCATGATTCCTTATAGTCCTTCTCTGCATTAAATGAAATTAAATTTTATTTAAAATTTTCTAATTGTTTGTTTTTTTTTTTTGGAACATTATGTTTGCACTTACGTATTTCCTTACATGAGTTTAGAGCTGCCTTTGCGACATCCTGAATTTCAGGAGGCAAGATAATTGGTATTTGTGCAACGGCTTTTGTTATACTAAAATCACCCTTTTTTGTGACCTAAAATAAGTATATAAACGAGAAGTGTATAATTTTAATAATATAAATAGGGTATACATAGTACATATAGTACTGTTATACCCTACATCACTCTGGTGGGAAAGCTGTGCTGAACCTTTGAAAAGGTTAGTGAATGATGGTCTAGAATTGCGGTATTTACTTACCGTGCCTGCCAGTTGTGCAACGCATTTTGTATAACACTGAAAAGAAAAGATAAATACATTCTTTTAAATAATGAAACGATATCTTTTTTATATTATATATAAACTTTTCTAGCTTTGAAATGTCACGCGTTACAGTCTAGTTAGGTTAGGTTGACACCTAAGGCACTATCGTTCCTGTTGTGCGCTCCTTTTCATGAAAAAAATAATGTTCACTGAATGTATTATTTTTCAATGTTCAGAAACTCAGTTTCCTAGATGAAATTCCTAAGAAATTTCCAATCAGTGTTAGTCAGGAATGTTATTTCCGGAATAACATCACTTCTAAGATACTTGGATCTAACTTCTACGAATGCCTGACAGTGTCAAATAAAGTGCTCCAGAGTTTCATTGTCCTCTTCACATGCTCTACATTCGTCTGAATCTGCAATTTTGTATAGATGTGCCCGTAATCCTGTGTTGCCACTCAGAATACGTACCATCAGACTTGCTAATTTTGAGAAGATTTCTCGTCTTGCTCTCATCAGGGTCACTCATAGCATCTTTGTGGTTCTACCCACCGTTTCATTATTCCAAGAAGCCTTATGGGATTCTCTCACACATATTTTAATTCGAGCTCCCTTCCCTTTAAAGCTATTACATTCGCCCTAATTGCTTTCTGCTTGTCGATAAATATATTAAGCCCTATGGGCGCCATATTTATTCTAATCCAATTGACACATTCTGTTATTGCTCGAACTTCTCCCTGGAAGCTTGTGTTATTATTAGACAAACGGTGATATATTTCTGTTTCTGGGTCTTCAATATAGAACCCCAGGCCCACTTTGTCCACCCAAATTAAAAACCATCCGTGTAACAAAGGATTCCTACTGGTATTCGCTCTAATGTTCCGCTTGATCAAGACATTGATGTCATCTCTATGAATGTCGTTCGAAGCTACCGTATACGAGGACTGATCTATTGGATCCTGCACATAACTACGTATATACTCCTCGTAGATACGAAAATGCTTCCTGACATACCTTGGGGGAACATCCAACACAATAAGATTCTGTTGGTTAACGGGAAAGGGTAACGAGATCTTAGATGAATCGGCCAGACAGGGTTTAAATCTGGACCTTAACAGTAGAAATAGATATGTAAAACCTCCTATCTGTTATTACTTATGTTCGTAAAATCCATAGACTCTACCAACCGATCCTATAGCAGAAGCTGAACACGAAAGCAACCAGATTACTATTGCGATTGGACAGGAAGAGTATGAGGACTTTAGTAATAATCGGTTACTGCGCAATTGAAGCCTTCAGAGCTTGAGACTGAAATGTTGAGATAAAAGATTCCACAATGAACTAGAAGATATAGCTGGATATCTACATCAACAGTAGAGATAGATCTGTAAAACCTCCTATCTGTTATTACTAATCTCCGGAAAAATTACAGACTCTACGAACAGATCCTAGCACAGTAGGTTTAATTGCAGGGTTTCTAAGGCCTTATGACCGAAATTAAATACAAAAGCAACCAGAGTACTATTACGATTTAACAGGAAGAGTATAAGGACTTTAGTAGGGATCATCGGTCACTGCGCAATTGGAGCTTTTAGAGTCTAACACTAGATATTCTAAGACTAGATTCCGCGATGAACTATGAAATGTAGCCCGCTGTGAATTAGCCGCTATTCTGGGTTTCATCAATTGAATAGATTAGTTATTCAGTCTTAACATCTTTCTCCCTCTCTTATTATTATATATTCTTTAATATAATATTTGATGTAATGAACCCCCGAATCGGATACAGCATAGCTTAGTCCTTTATAAAAGTGGTCTCTGTGTTTCGACTTTTCTCAAGTTTTGTTGTCATTTGCTATTTAAACTTTTGAGAGGTATTACGATCCTTATGTAGTTAGTAATATAATCCAAATTTAGGAATCGCAAAGCGGGACTAGGCTCTTGTTTTCCATGACAAGATGGTCACCTCCAAGCACGACGTTCATGTGACCATCCACCATCAAAAAGGATGGTGGATATCTTTCTGATGGTGGGTATAATAAGTTCAATGAGAGTATTGGTCGTTAGCCCACATATTAGATTCTAAGATGATCTAGACATATCCTAAATGGGTGGGACTGACATTTTCCACAAATATTCCTTATTAATAAGACTGATTTGTTATTGGAAAAGGGACAAAATTTTCAGAAAATTAATAAATGGCTCAACATAACGGCATATGCAGTTCTGAATCGTATAAGGATTGATCGCTCCACTCTTATAGGAAATCATTATTTTTCACAAATTCATTATAAGAAATTAATGACACTTTCGAATTTTGAAGAGAGTCCCTAAAAAAGGCCATTTTATAAACCTCTCTGATTCTAACAAGTGTTTTCTAACGAATTTTTCGGCGTATTTGGAAGAGATAATGTATACCGGTGAATATATATAAACATATTTCAGAATCTGATCAAATACATTCGAACAATGTTCTCTTGCACTTAAAATTTCGATTAGAATTGATTTTAACATGATCATTGAACAATTTAACACATTAATTCCAATAACATTACCTTAAGCTCAGAACTATTTTCATCAAAGATACCATTCCGCAAATTATCCAATTGATCTAAGCTCACTTTAAATTTCGGTGCACAACCATTTCGCATCATATCCAATGATTGTAAAAACTGATCCATCGTTACCTAAACACATTTTATTTTAAATAATTTTCATATTATTTTAATTACAACACAATTTCCTTACAGCACTTGTTAAATGAAAGCATGTTAAACTAAGTATTACAAATTTCAATGAAATTAATCTTGAAAATCTTTTCATTTTTGTTCCGTTTTTTATTTTATATTTTTAATTAATTTATATTTTTTAGATATTTTTATAAACATTAACCTTTTTGTTGTAATACTGTCTGTTGTTCGATTTTATTGTTCTGATGATAACGGTTTATTGCAACGTTTTAAAATTAATGACAAAAATACTTCTAGTTCCAGCTGAAACATGTTATATTTATAGACTTTTTACAATTTAAGGAAATATCATGTTGTTTACAATTTTTTAATTGTAGTCTTAATGACAGGTTGAAATTTTTGCGTAAAAATGTGTAATTAAAATTACAGTTAATAGAAGTTGCTAATTATAACTATTTTAGGTGTTTTGTTTTTATGTAAGTGAAAATTATACGTTTTACAACAACTAATATCCAAAGAAAAAACCATGTAAAATTGTGATTTGATTTAGAAATTTCTACAATGTTGCAAATTCAAGGTTAATTATAGTCCAAACTTTTATTAATTTTTGACACTTTTAAGCGATAGATCTGTATTTATAATTTCTCACAAAAAATTAAACCCAAATTCTAAATAGTTTTTTTTTTCTTTTTTAATTTTTAATAAATTAATTGTTTAAAAAATATTGCATGTTTAAAATTATCGTATGTGAATTACACTAGATGACTTGTAAATTCAAGATTTCACAACTGGAATTTAGGTTACTTTATACAACAGATTAGATTTAGGAGTTCCTAAAGCTATCTAGTGTTCACCATAACATCATAATTTATAGTCTAGTCTATAGTGTAGCCTTTAGTCAAGTCTATAGTCTGGTCTATAATCTGGTCTATAGTCTGGTCTATAATCTGGTCTATAGTCTGGTCTATAGTCTGGTCTATAGTCTGGTCTATAGTCTGGTCTATAGTCTAGTCAATAGTCTAGTCTATAGTCTAGTCTATAGTCTAGTCTATAGTCTAGTCTAAAGTCTTGTCTATAGTCTAGTCTATAGTCTAGTCTATAGTCTAGTCTATAGTCTAGCCTATAGTATAGTCTATAGTCTAGTCTATAGTCTAGTCTATAGTCTAGTCTATAGTCTAGTCTATAGTCTAGTCTATAGTCTAGTCTATAGTCTCTTATAGTCTAGTCTATAGTTTAGTCTATAGTCTAGTCTATAGTCTAGTGTATAGTCTAGTCTATAGTCTAGTCTATAGTCTAGTCTATAGTCTAGTCTATAGTCTATAGTCTAGTCTATAGTCTAGTCTATAGTCTAGTCTATAGTCTAGTCTATAGTCTAGTCTATAGTCTAGTCTATAGTCTAGTCTATAGTCTAGTCTATAGTCTAGTCTATAGTCTAGTCTATAGTCTAGTCTATAGTCTAGTCTATAGTCTAGTCTATAGTCTAGTCTATAGTCTAGTCTATAGTCTAGTCTATAGTCTAGTCTAGTCTATAGTCTAGTCTATAGTCTAGTCTATAGTCTAGTCTATAGTCTAGTCTATAGTGTAGTCTATAGTCTAGTCTATAGTGTAGTCTATAGTCTAGTCTATAGTGTAGTCTGTAGCCTAATCTATAGTCTAGTATATAGTCCAGTCTATAGCCTAATCTATAGTCTAGTCTATAGTCCAGTCTATAGCCTAGTCTATAGTCTAGTCTATAGCCTAGTCTATAGTTATTCTGTAGTCTAGTCTATAGTTTAGTCTTTAGTATGTCTATAATCTGGTCTATAGTATGTCTATAATCTGCTCTATAGTCTAGTCTATAGACTAGTCTATAGTCTAGTATTTATTCTAGTCTATAGTATATCTATTATGTAGTTGAGTCTATAATATTGTATACAGCCTAGTATATAGTCTAGTTTAAAGTCTAGTCTATAGTCTAGTCTGACACCACTTATATTCAAGTAACATGTACTCCAAACTCCCCGTAGTGGTATTATGTTGCACTTTTTGTACAAAAAGAACACCAGAACCGGGGTTCAGTATTGCCACGAAGTTTCGTTATTCTTTTAAGGAGACATATTTCCGTCTTTATTGGATTGACATTCAACCTTTTAATTTAGCCCAGCCTTAAGTTCAGAGGGACAGTCCCGACCTAGTTATTTAAGCTTCAATTAGGGTCACCATTAGCCAACCAGCCAGTTATAAAACTGCTGGGTTATATAGAACATTATTTAAATACCTTATTTTTTTTATAAATTTATTCTAAATGTGTATGATTATGCAAATTTATAGTCTAAAAGTATTTAGGCCGGGTTTTACAGTTGTCCCTAAGGGTAAACTATAAAACCGGACCCATGATTTTAAAGCACGTTTTTAAACTTTTTCTTCTAATTAAATTTTTTACCTTTTTTTATTTCCTTTCCACACCTTTTATCTATGAATATTTGTAACCTTTTTTAAACGATAACATCTAAAACGCATCCCCGTAATGATTATTGAAACACTACTAAATATAAGGTTTTGCTATACCAGATTTCAAGAACGGTAAAGTTGTAAATCGGGCCAGAGGATTTGTGGTGCGACTCTTCGAGTCCATTTGCAATTGTGCTAACAATGCAGCAGCAGCACCAGTGACACGTTTCAAATTTCGCAGCGGCAAGCGAGCCTCAACAAGTGGTGATGCCAGCGAAAATAATGGCAAAGTAGAAAACAATAAAAAGGAGGAGAAATCAAAAAGGAACAGTAATGGTGGTAAGAAAAATGATAAAGTAAAAATCGATGAAACCAATACAGAAAAAGATAATGAAACACAAGAAACAATAGAATTGCAATAGATATTTTAAGTGAAGAAAACTGCAAAGAAAAATTCAAAATTATAGACTTTTTTAATATAGCAATACTAATGAAATTATAATGAAATAATTAAAATTTTAAAGAAACTTAAATTTAAACTAGAATTTGGCTTACTTTTGGATACAACTATCAAAAGGTTTCCAAACGAACAAAATTAAATAATACAGTCTGTCTAAAAAGTATTTGTATGAAAATGTGTTTTAAATGTCTTATTAAAAAAAAAATCAAATAAATAAATACTTTAACAAATATTTTTCTAATACAAACAATAGTCAATTGTTTACAATAGAATCGATCTCTGGACTATCGTCAGTCATAGAATATTACACATAATTACAACAACATTATAAGAAAATGGCACTAAACTTTATAGTATTAAGTAAAAATATACTTAGGATGGGTTTTATAGGTCTCCCTAAGGGAAAAACTTCCTCTTTTCGGGTAAACTATAAAACCGGCACTTGAAGTATAAAGTTAAATAAATAAATCAATAGATGTCAAAATATATAAAATATTTATTAAAAAATACCAAAACAAATCAATACGAACACAAGCCTATTTAAATACCAGGTCCAATTTTTCTGTTTCCCTAGTGTCTATTTTACCAGCATTATCATAAACCCTTAAACTATTCAAACCAAATTAAAAACTGTTTATTATTGATTTGATTGATTCTTTATTGTTAATTTGAAATTATAACGGTTATTCCCTGAGAATTTCTATAGTTAAGGGTTATACAATTATATTCGCGATTATCGTAGAAAAATTTAGTTCAGAACTTCATCAAAATGAATTTATAGTAAAATCTCTATGATTTAAAAAAAATCACACTCCATTTTATATAATAACGTCATACTTCTTTAAAAAAGGTCTTCAAAATAGATTATAAATCGTTTATTAAGCCCTTATACACATCATATCGTTATATATTAAACCCCATTATCTCAATGTCTGGTTATATTAAAGGTAAAGTTAACTTGACAGTTTTCATATAGAAATTATTTTAATCGTCAGAATATCTACCGGTTAAACGATAACTGGAGATTGAGATAACGGGTCTAAATGTATTTTTTAACTTTTTCTTGAAATTCGAGTAGTGGATTAGTATGGTACTTTGTTTAAAGTATAAAGTTTGGAATTGAGGTTAGATTTTTGACAGTTTTCGTAATAATGGATGTATGAGAAGAAAATACAAAATATACTCGATTCGACGTTCCGTCATTGAAATTACAACCTACAAAACCGATAGCACATGGACGACACAAGCTAGAACGATAATAGGATTAAATAAATGTTCACTAGGTCTCAAAATTTTACAACGATCTGCAAATATTTTCTATATTGTTTCATTGGTATATCATTCCATGTTGTTGTATATCGTTCCATAATTGTTTGGTAATCGTTTCCATACAAATGTTCGGACTACCGTTTGAACCAATTTAGTTCTGAGTTAGGTGTCCGGTAACTGGATATGCTCAATTCCTCTAGAGATAAGAGCTACTCAGATGAACTACCAGTAGTTGAATTATGTTACACTTTATCCCAAGAAGTACACTAGCTTATAGAAGCGTAGGTTATAATTGATCTAATTACTTTTATATAAAGCAGGGTTCGAGTCCATGGGTCTCCTACGTAGCACCCAATATCGAAGTGTTTTGTTGGTTCTATTCTCTATTTGTCTTCATTTCTATTTAAGTTTCCGATCAAAGATAATACCTTAAGAGCTCGATCCACAATTGATTTATGGTCTTCTGGAGGTATTCTTCCGAAAATAAATTGCATACTAATATCGATATTGTAATAAATGTAAACCGCTATTAGTGCCATATGCAATCCAATTTATTACATCCCGTGATAGCAAGGACTGTCACCTGGAAGCTGGTGTTGTGATTAGCAAGATAGTAGTATATCCATTATAGATCCCTAGCCCCGTTTTGTCTTCTGCAGATGTGTTGCAATATATTGCCGCAGATGTTAGCTCTACAATCTTGACTACGATCTTCTATCTGAGAGCAATCTCACACAGTTTCCGGTATGCGATCATGCGATTTTCCTAGAGAAAAGAAATTCCCAGTAGTGGTATTATGCTACACTTTGTCTAAGGAAGTCCACTGGATTATAGAAGCCTAAGTAAGAATTAATCTAATTATACTTTTATAAAGCATGGGTTCGAGTCTATTGTTCTCCTACATAGCGCCCACATCGATGTATTTTGTTGGTTCTATCCTCTAGTATTTCTATTTAAGTTTCTGATCAAGTATATCAAGGCTTCGATCCACGTCTCAAATATGGCCTGCAAGACCTGATGTGTTAGATAAATTCTGATTCGGATTCAGCGATGCTCAATCCTTTAGAAATGTAAACTTTGGTCTCTGGGTCAGTGTTATTGGTTGATTGTAAGACCTACGCATATCTCATTACATTATGAAATTGAAACTAAAAACCGAAGATATTTTGTTAAGGCGATTAAATTCTTGTACTTCTTATAAACCAATTTCCAAAATTAAGATCATATGCTTCACAGTTCACGATCAAAATGTACCAGTAATCCGCATCGTACTGCACGAAATTCGAAAAAGTTAGAAAAAACAAAAAGTTATATCCACTACAAAATATCAAATCAAAATATGTTTTACAGAAAAACATATTCTTAAATGTTTAATAAATATTAACAAAATCCACAAAATAATAATAAAATAAATAAATAAATAAATAAAAATAATCGGGAAATAAATAACGCACACAATCATTTATAAATGTGAAAAAAAAAGAAAATGAAATCTGAATAATTCATTCATAAATGTATGTAATTGTATATTATTTAGTTAAATTTTTAAATAAAATACATTAAACCTATTTTATTTTAATTATAACATAATCAAATAAATTTAGTTTAAAAATAAATTAAATTTTTTTATAAAAAAAAGTAAAATCCTCTACAATTTTTATAAAAATTGGCAATAAAAATGTCTTGAACCAAAAATAACAAATAATGACCATAAAATTGAATAAAAATCAAATTAAAAAATATTTTAACTAAAATACATATGATACGATGCTAATAGTATTTTTTATAAATACATAAATAACAAGTAAATAAATATTTTTTAAATTAAATATTGTAATTGTATTGTATTGTATCTATCCTATATATTTATATTTTATTAGCTAATATATACATCCTCTATTTATATTTTTACATTGAATATTTATGGATTTTATATAATAACAAATTAAACGGAAATTTTTGTAAATTTTATTTTTAAAATCCTTTTTACAAACATGTTCATACCAAAATGCAACTCTACGCTTAAAAAAAATATTGAAATTTTTAACTAATAAGAACCATATAAATGTCAATGTTTATTTTTGACAATTATAAATTGACATGTTTTGTAAAGAGTGTGCAAACAGTCCTAGTATTATAAAACAATTACATATGTATGTATGTGTATTAAATAAATATAATAATAATAAAGTGACAATGTGTATTAAATAAAAAAAAAAAACAAGTTAGAGTGCTATATTCGGCTGAGCCGAATCTTAAATACCCTCCACCAGCTTGTAGAAATAAGTTTTCTCATGTCTTAAATAGAAAAATCCCAAGATTTAAATAGCTTAAATCTATTACAATTCCAAGATTTATTGAACATTACTAACGCTATTTTCTTTTATATTTTTATAGGGCCTTAGATATGCTTTAGCGATATTTAGTAATTTGTATGTGTGTGAAAGATGTAAGGATTTTCAAAATACATATGTACACAAATTTATAATGCAACTAGTTAACTACGGTTAAAGTGCTTTTAGGGGCAGGACCTAGTATGGGAGATATGACCAATTATAGACCGATCGTAAAAAATTCTTTAAGCAAAATTTCTGTACATTAAAGCTATATTTCAGTCAAAATTTGTATCTATATGGTAATTTAGTAATAAGTAATGTGTGTTTAAGTGATTTTTTGAAGGGAACCTTGTATGGGACCGACCACACCCATGTTATGAACCGATCGTGAAAAAATCTTGAAATAGAATTTTTGTATACAAAACGAATACATATTTCTGCCAAATTTTGTATCAATAGCTTTATTTTGTAATGAGTAATGTGCGTTTAAGAGATTTTCTTAAAAGGACCTTGTATGGGAAAATTCTGTATCTATATCATTATTTAGTAATGAATATTGTACATTTAAGTAATTTTCTGGAGGGGACCTAGTATGAGAGCTATGACCAAGTATGGACCGATCGTAAAACAATTTTATAGTGTAATTTATGTATATAAGAGCAATATTTGTGCTAAATGTATAGATATCAATATTTGGTAATGAGATATGTGCGTTTAAATGATTTTCGGAAGGAAACCTTGTATGGGAGCTATGACCCACGATGGACCGTACGTGATAAAATTTTGAAATAACATTTATGTGTACAAAAATAGTATTTATGCCAAATATTTTCACTATTAGGTAAAGACTTATGTGCCTTTAAGTTTTTCTGAAAGGAACCTTGTATGGGAGCTATGATCAATTATGGACCGATATGAAAACAATTTCAAAGTAATATTTCTGTACATATAAGTAACTTGTACCAAATTTTATATGGAAATCTTAATTCAGTAATGAGTTATGTGCGTTTAAGTGATTTTCTGAAAGGGACCTTGTATGGGAGCTATGACCAATTATGAACCGATCGGAGGAAAATTTCACAGTAATATTTCCCTATATATGAGCAATACTTGTGACAAACTTTATATGGATATCGTAATTTTGTAATGAGTTATGTGCGTTTAAGTGATTTCCGATCTGAAAAAAATGTCTCAGTAGCATTTCTGTGCATATAAACAATACTTGTGCCAAATTTTATATGGATATCTTAATTCAGTAATGAGTTATGCGCGTTTAAGTGATTTTCGGGAGGGGACCTTGTATGGGAGCTATGACCAATTATGGACCGATCAGAAAAAAATTCCACAGTAATATTTTTGTTCATACGAACAATACTTGTACCAAATTTTATATGGATATCTTAATTTTGTAATGAGTTATGTGCGTTTAAGTGATTTTCGGGAGGGGACCTTGTATGGGAGCTATGACCAATTATGGACCGATCGGGGAAAAATTTCACAGTAATGTTTCTGTGCATACGACTAATACTTCTACCACATTTTATATGGATATCTTAATTTAGTAATTAGTTATGCGCGTTTAAGAGATTTTCGGGAGGGGACCTTGTATGGTAGCTATGACCAATTATGGACCGATCGGGAAAAACTTTCATAGTAATATTTCTGTATGTAAGAGCAATACTTGTACCAAATTTTATATGGTTATCTTCATTTACTAATGAGTTGTTTGTTTTTAAGTAATTTTCGGGAGGGGACCTTGTATGGGAGCTATAACCAATTATGAACCGATCGGAATAAAATTTCACAGTAATATTTTTGTTCATACGAACAATACTTGTACCAAATTTTAAATGGATATCTTAATTTTGTAATGAGTTATGTGCGTTTATGTGATTTCCGGGAGGGGACCTTGTATGGGAGCTATGACCAATTATGGACCGATCGGGGAAAAATTTCACAGTAGTGTTTCTGTGCATACGACTAATACTTGTACCACATTTTATATGCATATCTTAATTTAGTAATTAGTTATGCGCGTTTAAGTTATTTTCGGGAGGGGACCTTGTATGGGAGCTATGACCAATTATGGACCGATCGGAAAAAACTTTCATATAAATATTTCTGTATACAAGAGCAATACTTGTACCAAATTTTATATGGATATCTTCATTTACTAATGAGTTATGTGGTTTTAAGTAATTTTCGGGAGGGGACCTTGTATGGGAGCTATGACCAATTATGGACCGATCGAAAAAAAAATTCTCAGTAATATTTCTGTACAAATAGGCAATGCTTGTACCAAATTTTATATGGATATCTTAATTTAGTAATGAGTTATGCGCGTTTATGTTATTTTCGGGAGGGGACCTTGTATGGGAGCTATGTCCAATTATGGACCTATCCAGAAAATTTTTTCTCTGAATGAATTCTATTGACATAAGATTTTAATTTGTAAAATTTTGTGAAGATATCGACATTGTGACGGAAGTTATTAACAAAAAACCCATTTTCCGGGAATATGTACTTTTGTATGGGAGGTATATGAAATTGTGGACCGATGCTAGCAATTTTCAGCAGGGATCAAGTTCTCGTGTAGAAACTTATTCATGGTGATTTTCATGAATTTATCTTGCATAGTTTTCGAGAAAATTGCATCCGAATGTGTAAAAAATGCTTATTTTTTTCGAGGTTGTTTTAAATTTTGATTCATAACTTTTCCCGGTATGAACCGATTTTGCTCATTTTCAATACCAAACTGCTTAGGACAACAACGAATATTTTCGGTGAATTTCGTGTACTTGCTTTGCTTAGTTTTAACGTGAGCGTGTTTTAGGCAGACAGACGGACAGACGGACAGACAGACGGACATAGCTAAATCGACTCAGAATTTGATAAGGACCCAGAATATATATACTTTGTTGGGTCTCAGATGAATATTTCTTGGTGTTACACACGGAATGACAAAGTTATATATACCCTCTATCACCACTGATGGTGGTGGAGGGTATAAAAAAATAAGCAATTTGTTGTACCAGTAAATTTGCATTCGAGTATTCTATAAAAGATGATTAAATCAAATTATTACTAAATAAAACAAATGGAACAAAATGTTGTTAGGATTTTATTTGTATTGAAATGATGAGGTAAGTCCAACTGTTTTATTTTATGAACAACTAGTATTACCCGGTAACCATCATCGTATTTAAACTAGACTATAGACTAGGCTATAGACTGGACTATAGACTAGACTATAGACTAGACTAAAGACTAGACTATAGACCAGACTATAGACCAGACTATAGCCTTACTATAGACTAGACTATAGACCAGATTATAGCCTTACTATAGACTAGACTATACACTAGACTATAGACTAGACTATAGACTAGACTATAGACTAGACTATAGACTAGACTAGACTAGACTATAGACTAGACTATAGACTAGACTATAGACTAGACTATAGACTAGACTATAGACTAGACTATAGACTAGACTATAGACTAGACTATAGACTAGACTATAGACTAGACTATAGACTAGACTATAGACTAGACTATAGACTAGACTATAGACTAGACTATAGACTAGACTATAGACTAGACTATAGACTAGACTATAGACTAGACTATAGACTAGACTATAGACTAGACTATACTAGACTATAGACTAGACTATAGACTAGACTATAGACTAGACTATAGACTAGACTATAGACTAGACTATAGACTAGACTATAGACTAGACTATAGACTAGACTATAGACTAGACTATAGACTAGACTATAGACTAGACTATAGACTAGACTATAGACTAGACTATAGACTAGACTATAGACTAGACTATAGACTAGACTATAGACTAGACTATAGACTAGACTATAGACTAGACTATAGACTAGACTATAGACTAGACTATAGACTAGACTATAGACTAGACTATAGACTAGACTATAGACTAGACTATAGACTAGACTATAGACTAGACTATAGACTAGACTATAGACTAGACTATAGACTAGACTATAGACTAGACTATAGACTAGACTATAGACTAGACTATAGACTAGACTATAGACTAGACTATAGACTAGACTATAGACTAGACTATAGACTAGACTATAGACTAGACTATAGACTAGACTATAGACTAGACTATAGACTAGACTATAGACTAGACTATAGACTAGACTATAGACTAGACTATAGACTAGACTATAGACTAGACTATAGACTAGACTATAGACTAGACTATAGACTAGACTATAGACTAGACTATAGACTAGACTATAGACTAGACTATAGACTAGACTATAGACTAGACTATAGACTAGACTATAGACTAGACTATAGACTAGACTATAGACTAGACTATAGACTAGACTATACTAGACTATAGACTAGACTATAGACTAGACTATAGACTAGACTATAGACTAGACTAGACAGACTATAGACTAGACTATAGACTAGACTATAGACTAGACTATAGACTAGACTATAGACTAGACTATAGACTAGACTATAGACTAGACTATAGACTAGACTATAGACTAGACTATAGACTAGACTATAGACTAGACTATAGACTAGACTATAGACTAGACTATAGACTAGACTATAGACTAGACTATAGACTAGACTATAGACTAGACTATAGACTAGACTATAGACTAGACTATAGACTAGACTATAGACTAGACTATAGACTAGACTATAGACTAGACTATAGACTAGACTATAGACTAGACTATAGACTAGACTATAGACTAGACTATAGACTAGACTATAGACTAGACTATAGACTAGACTATAGACTACTATAGACTATACTAGAGACTAGACTATAGACTGAACTATGAAATGGCTCAAATCAGGTTTAGCGAAACTACATGCCTTACTTAGAGGTCAACCTGGCCTCTATATGACGCCTATAGGTCAAGCTTACTGTTAAGCAGATACGAACTCTGTTAATGGGCTGTTGGAAATCAGAATAGATCTCAAGTATTGTGATTATTGGATAAGTTGTCATAATGAGGTGGAAGATGAGATTATATTTCATCTCCTCTGCTACTGTCTGACATTTACTGAGAAGAGACAGATTATAGGTATAATGCGATGAAATTCGACAGTTACAAGTTTTAACTTAAGAATCGGCCCATAATTTACCTTGCTATTTTAACAAATTTATAACTTTTTAGAATACTGTACAGTTGTATCCAATTGAATCCAATTACCTAAAGATTTAAAGCAAATTTGTTGTATATTAATTTTTGGAACCAGTCAAATAAAGCAATGTTTTTGGAATTATTCCTGAGCTTCGTATGAAACCTTTCTTGACATCAAGAAATTGTGATCTAAGTATTACAAGTTAAGAATACGAGTATATTTAGAAAGGAAATACCTATTAATTTTTAATGGTGTTTAAGAACAATAACAAAAGTTTCTGTTATAAATTCTATCTTAAAGTTTGACTCCTATCTGGGAATTTAAAGCTTGACCCATATTTTGTGGTTTCTGAATACACATGTATGTTAATTTTTCATACAAAGTATGATTTTTATCCTACTGTAAACAAGTTTATGACCTTGATATTAGAAAAAAAAGTTATGATAAAAGTATGCTGAACCTTAAAGAAATCAAAAACAGTAGATATTCAATAAAAATGACATTAGGAAATTTGGAATCATTTTATTAAGTAAGTTTCAATTGTTAAAGATTTACAGAACAAATGCGTAAAAATTCTTTTTATAAAACTTTTATAAATTATTGTGAATATGAGCCCGAGATCTTTGAAAGCGAAAGTTTTTTTGTAGATTGTTCACTATAACAACATTTCACTGTGCTCAAGATCTTACAATGAAACAGAGCTTAAATTTTAATTTAAACTAAATATGTACAAAAGTAAACTTATTCCTATACAAATAAACATATTAAAACAAAATATATAAAAAATATTAACAAAAAACTGGAAGATGATAGCGACGATTGGCAAGTAGTACTATAATACAAATATTCTACAAATACAAAAACTATATGTATATACGATATGTATGGATAGATGGCAAATATTACACACAAACACTTCGATAAAAAAGTTGTATTTGTTGCATTTGTACTTGAATTTACTTAAAATACAAATAACGTACAAACATTAAGGGTATTAAAGACAATGAGTAAATCAATATTTAAATTAATTAGCAATATGTATGCAACAGATGTTCACATATAATAAATAATATACATTAGGGTGGTGTTTTTGCCAGTTTTTTTTTTTTCAAATTTGTTATAAATATGAAGTATAGCAGTGGTCACCAAAGTGCTTAATTCACAACAATCAATATTAGGAACACTATGGGCTGAGTTCAACCAATTCTTTGGTCATTTCACTTGGGAACTTTGTTACCTAGACTATAATGTTAATGGCATGGCGAGAATGGTTGTAAATATATAGTTAAGCTGGAAATGATAATATTCATTAAATATGAATAAGGCTTGGTTTAATACGAAGTGCAATCAGATCCATAGATGAAACTTTCAGAATTTGGCACAATAATAAAAATGCACAAATCGACACGGTGCTCAAAGAAGCGTGGTCTTCGCCAGAGTGCTAAGATGTGAAAAAGCTGTACACAAGGTGCATCTTCGTGCACGGAGATGCATGCTAAGGTTCTTGCTGCACGTAGGGGTAGCAAAACCTCTTGATCATCATTCAAAGTGTAAAGGATAATGATAGTTCTTCAAACGATCAAACATTCGCAGAATTTGGTGCAATAACGAAAACGCACAAATCGAACGCTGCTCAGAAAAAACCGAGGTCTTTGAGTGCCAGGACGCGAAAAAGCTCTACATGAGCTGCTCAAAACATCTTGGACGTTCATTCAAGGTAAAAAGGTTAATGCTAGTTCTTCAATTTCGTTGGTGATAACAAAAACCTTATATTAACTGAATATATTATCGTCCGATGTTCAGAGATTCAGTTTCCTAAACGTAATTCCTAAGACTTTTCCAATCAGTGTTCGTGATGTTAGACTAAACACATTTACAAGTTCGCGTAAAGCATTTAAGTGCTTCGGTTTTTAAGTCGATGTAATTACTATTTACATCACTAATGTATGGAATACAACTCTAATATATGGACCAAAGCTTTGAAGTCTATTTTGGTGCTAACGACCACATACAAAAGATGGCGAAGATACTTATCGGTGACAGTAGGATATCCGACTCTATTGAGTTAGATTGAAAAGTGGAGTATATTTCACTGCTCTATATTGATATTACAATGTAATGTCTTCGTGTGATATTAGGGAACTCGTTCCCGATTCGCGTATATATTTACGCAACACAAGTCTTTCATCATTGTGGTCGATTTGCCAGTAGACCACAAACACATTACAGGGAAAGTTCATTCTTTAGATGTACTATTCGTATTTCGATGTACGATGTTTTTAATCAAATATCCACAAATACAATCCCCAATATCCTTCCTCTCACAACCTATTTTCCTATTCTAACTGCATGCACTATATGTAAATAGGGCAATTACAACCCAGCGACTTCAGTGAATTGACCAATACCGATTACAGGATACACCAACAATGTATCACAAACATCCCACAAACATACCGGAAACTGAAACTGTCTGGAACTGTGTGACATTGCAATGTCTCACAATGCATTGTTCACAGAAAGGAGACCCTTTTGTCTATCATGTTATTATTATGATAGACAAAAGGGGTCTGGGATTCTACATTGAAAACCGGAAACCGAAATATAGTAAGGACTTCCCAATTACAATACTAGCTCCAGCTGTAATACGGAGAGTGAAAGTGATGCAACACTTTCTTTGTCATTACCAGACTTTTGTAGGAAGAAGATCTAAATATCTTGATAGCGTGTTATTCCAGATATTCACCCCTATTCTGAATATCAATTCGAATCGAAATTTTCTCCGTTTGGCAACTTTGGTATTCTGCATTTCGATTCGAAGCTCCGTCAAACGTAGTTACGATCGTAATGCAGAATACATACAATCGTAAAGCATTGAAATAAAGGGCATTGTTTCTTCTTTTTCTTACGATTCCGTTTTTTTGTTGGAATACCAATTTTCGACCGTAGCGTAACTGAATGCGGAAACGTAATCGAAATGCAGAATAGGGGTGATTATAATCCTCAGAAAGACTGAATTTAAATTCTGAAGATACTGAGCTTCCGAACATTTGACGATAATTTCTTTCATCGATCCGAAAATAGATCGCTACATGACTATTTTTCACCAATATTTTCCATAAAATGTACTGCACAACAGGTCTGTTATTGGGCTAAGGGTACTTTTAAAGATCAGATGTAGTATATATCATCAACATAACCTATCCTAAATAAAATTATTTAAAATAGAACAATATGTTACATAACTGCTAGTGATTGTGAATACCACTACTGTTTTCGTATACATTTATTTCTATGTATGAATATATTGAGAAGTACAAAAAAAAAAAACAACACAAAGTGGGAATTCAACCGGCATTAAAAAAAACTAAAATCAAATAAATTTTTAACAAAAATTAAAATTCACAAAATTAACAATTTTACTTTAAGCGCAGTAGTGAGTGATTCCAGTCACAACAATTATTTTGGTCATACGTGGAAACTAAATCAACAAAACTTCGTCGGTTGACATAAATTTAAACAAAATAATTGTTAAAATAAAAATCAAAAAAATAATGTTCGCAAATTAATTTAAAAATAAGGTGCTAAATATATTTTTTAAACAATAATTATAAACTATATGTAATAATAACAAAAAAAAAATCGAAGAATAATGTAAAAATAAAACAAAAAGTTAATAATTATTTTGTAAAAATTAATCTCAAACGGAAATAAAACACGATAACATGAATTAACATTTTTTTTTACTTCTTAGCACGAACTTAAAACAATTATATTTTTGAAAAAGAAAAAAAAACTATAATAAAGTGTTTTTCGATATGAATAGATTTTTGGGGCCTGCGAAAAATTAAGGGCTAAATATTTTTGAACTGAAATTTATAAAAATTACTTATATGTTGTGTGTAAAGAAACAAAATAAAATTTGTGTAAAAAAAATAATTAAATAATAATTTTTATATAAAAATTGAAATAAATGTTTATCCTTGTGTTTTTAAAGTTTATTTGTATATAGTACATATAAGGCCATATATAATCCCGGGAAAATTTTATTCTGAGAAAAACAGTTCAGTTGCATTGTGTTTTCATATATGACACATTGTCATTGTTTTTAATAAAATTTATTACAGTTTACCTTTCCAATTTAATATTATTTCAACGTTTTAACATTATAGCAGTCATTAACAAAATGTTAGTCTTAATGTCATACAGATTTTAATATCATATGGATATTTTCAAAATATTGAAATATTGAAACTCTCAAAGTAATAAAAAAGTCAAAATAAATCCATGTTTTTGGAAATAGGCGTTACTTATATTGGTTTGATTTCGATAATTGGATTCGAATGCCCCATTCGAATGCGACATAGAAATTGTATGTTTGGGCAACAATTCAATCGTCGCACCTACCTTCGATCAGCTGTCACAGGTTAGATTGATCTTTCCATCAGGATCGGAGCGATCTATGACAGCTGCTCAAAAGTTTCCATCCAGGCTTATGGACTTTTTCACTTTCTTTGTTGATGAAGTCGGCTGGTCATCCCCAGATCTAGGTCTTTTATTGGTCCCCTTATGAGACTTATTAGAGCTGCTTTCTTCGTCGATGAGATCGATTGATCATCTAGCTCTTTTAATGGTCTGGATATAGCCGGATTTATACCAGTCGTCCTCATCGACGAAGTCTTTTTATGCCCCTTTAGCTTGGAGTTCTGGCCACCTCCACCCGGTTCGCCTAATGGTTCCCGTTTAAGAAAACATAGTCGGAGGTTGTCTTCTCCCTTCGCCTCTTGAACTACTTTAACCACTTTACTACGCCTCCAACAAGAAACCGGATTCCTGCTTTTTATGTTGAAGTTCTCACACACTTATGAGTGCTTACCGGGTCAACACTATCACTATAAGAAGTAGACCAACCCAATATAACTCTAATAGGGCCGTAGATTTTTTTCGTGGAGCCTGTAGGGACTCTAGTCCGCTCCTCCATGGTGCAAGATTGGCGTCCTTCGCGCCATGTGTACGACCTTCTTCCGGGAGGCTACTTTGGTTCCCATTGGCCTCATCAGTAGAGATGTTTCTGAATTTCGACCAAGAGCAGACACTGCAGTGATGTCGTGCTCCCCGTCAGAGAACAAAGTCATCTCCAGTCTAACTTCTGAGTGGCACAAGATTCTCCAAAGGAGTCCTTTAAAAGGCCTAGCTTAAAAATTTGGCCCTCATGCTCCAAGATCCGGGCATGAACGTCAGTCAGTGTTAGTCTTCCGTCTGAAACTATATCTGTGTCACCACCTTCCTTACTCGTCCGGTCCCTGGATTAATTTTACGCCACATGTTGATCGCCACCTTCATTTCCATCATTATATGCAGTTTGCTGAAAAATGACTTTGTCCGAGAAGGTCCGATGAATACAAAAATCGTCAGTACGGTTAAGGGCCATACAAATTATGGAACTGCAAATTGTTGCAGAACAATTTGAGTTCTAAAGCGTTATTTTGTGGTTCGCTTGGGACCATCGACCTAAGTGAAATAATGGACCGATTTAAAATAGTTCAAATATCCTTCGTATTTAGTATAATAGAAGACAATATATCAAGTTTTGTTAAATTATCTTCAAAAGTGCGGCAGTTAGAAGTTCCCATGGAAGTGTCTATATTACTGTTAATAAAAATAATTTTTATTTTAACAACAACAAGTATTTTTAAATTTTCCAAGAAATTTATCTTAAAATTTTTAATTTAAAAATAGAAATAAATCGACGAATAAAATGCAATTAAAATTATCAATATTTATATTCTGCCTACAATTGTTATTGGAGAGGTCAGGAGCTATTGTGACAAAAGAATATATAGGTAAGTTGAATCATTAAAAAGTCTATTTTAATTATAACAAAATTTAAATTTTATATATACACCATAAAAACCATGATTTCTATTTAATAACAAATCATTTTTGTGAAATGTATCTTAATACCTTGATTTTTAAACTATTTATTGTCAACATGGGGGGTGGGGGACCATATATGGGGGCTAGGGGCGATTTTGTTCACACCATGCAAATTGCATCAACAGGCTTCTAGCTTCTCATCTTTAGACTCAATATTGTTTCCAAGATATATGTATGTAAATACTTTTGTGGGTCTATATTATAATTACCGGGCCGCGTAATTATCACCCGTAGACTTAAAATCATAGACTATTGAACACAATTTCTTAAAATGTCCCAATCAATCCTCCGGTAAAACATCACTCCCAAAGTTGACAAATGATTAGCATTGACAGATAATGTGTTCATTATCCTCACGACATGCTCAGCATTTGTCACATTCCGCCCGTCTAATTTCGTGAAATTGTGTAAGTGGTTCTGTATATCCAGCCAGGATAAATACCATCAAACTAAACGCGGATCTATAAACATTATGCTTACCTGTATGAATATGTTGGTTGTTGCATGTATGATGACTTCATCTCTATGTAGTGAAACTCCAACTGTATTATATAGTAGTTATTGTGATTCTTCCGATGACATCTCAAAAGTATGGTATTGTGTTCCTTGATCGGTAAGATCTTCGTTTTCTAATTTGAGAATTGTGTTCTGAGAAAATCTGTTAGTACAACGTAACGATCCTGAAGTTAACATATTGGCAGCATTCCAAAAGTCAACATTAGGTTCAGTAATGCAGGCTCAGTAATGCAGACCACGCTGGCGTGGCGACTGACCGATCACTCGCATTATACATACATACATATGTAACTATCAAGGTTTGTTTGTCCATACGCCAAGTACTGCCGGCAAGTAGTAGGGTTCTATAAATCGACTTTCGAATAATCGAACAATCGACTTTTTGTCGAAATAGGTCGAAAAGTCGAAGTCGACTATTTTGTTCCAAAAAAGTCGATAACTCGACTATCGTCTATGAAAAAAGTCGAAAAGTCGACTTTGTAAATAAAAGTCGAAAAAAGTCGAAAAGTCGGAAAGTCGAAAAAAGTCGAAAAGTCGAAAAAAGTCGATAAGTCGAAAAAAGTCGAAGAAAGTCGAAAAAAGTCGAAAAGTCGGAAAAAGTCGAAAAGTCGGAAAAAGTCGAAAATAGTCGAAAATTTTAAAAAAGTGGAAAAGAGGTCAAAAAATCTAAAATAGTCGGAAAAACTCGAAAAAAGTAAAAAAATAGTCGAAAAAAGTCGAAAAAAAGTCGAAAATAGTCAAAAAGTCGTAAAAAATCGAAAAGTCGAAAAAAGTCGAAAAGTCGGAAAAAGTCGACCATTTATAAAATACTAAAAGTCGAAAAGTCTAAAAGTCGACTTTTAAATAAATGAAAAAGGTCGAAAAGTCGAAAAATCGACTTTTCATAAAATGGAAAAAGTCGAAAGGTCGAAAAGTCGACTTTTAACTAAATGCAAAAAGTCGAAAAGTCGACTTTTCGTTTCAACTATAGAACCCTAGCAAGTAGTTTCATTACCTTGTTCAAGCAGCGCAATTTGTGCGATATTGCTGTGGTATGAGTTGAGACCGTAAAGAGTGCCAAACGTTACTCCCAAAATCTTGAAATTCTGGTGTCATCGACTTAGTTCTAGTTGTAATTCCTTCGTCTAGGTGGTGAAAACTGTTTTAGAAGATTTACCTGGTTATAAAAAATTGTGGATCTATCACTTCGTATTGTTTGACAGGACTTGCATACATATTTCAAAATCATTTAATAGATCCAATGTCACAAGAACCGTTTTTTCTCAGGGGTTTTCTTTATTAAAACCTTGTGGAATTTGAGTGCTGATGCAAGTTAATGCTGTCGGAACAAACGATATCATGTCGTTGAGAGGAGGAGCCCGGAGTATTTTCGCGACTGATGATAACAAAGAGATCATTCTTCCTGGCTCGCGATTTTCTTCTTCGTGAAAGAGATCTGACCTTATACTACGAATTGACTTCTCTAGCAAGTTGTAGTTCTTCAATTGATCCATCCATCTATCGTTTCAGCAGAGTATTTCGTGTGTTCCTGCCCCGCCTCGCCTTTTAGGTTTAAGATTCTTTTGTGTGTTAATATGATGTAGTGTTATACTTCTTAGGAGAAGGGTCGAGAAGGTTGGGCGCAACCCAGATGGCTGAATGAAATTTTCACAAAATAAGGGAAAATTCCTGAGTATATTAAAGCCTCCCAACAAAGCACATCGGTTTGGGCGCTATGTAGGAGAGCTACAGGCATCTAATGAGGCAGACCACGCACTGGCTTTATAAAAGCGTGATTAGACCAATTGTAACTTTCGCCTTGATAAGCTGTTGAATTTCTATGGACAAAAAGTATAATATTATTGGTTAATATTCTTTGGTTTATAGAAAGAGCATGGGAATCGACAATGCAAATCTAGAAACCGAAATATATATCTTCCGGATTAAAACACTAGCGTTCTAGCTATTAATATATGTTTAAAGTGGACTGAATTAAATATAGCGTAGGCTGATGTAAAAATTTCTGAAGAGAAGGCATTTAGAGAAACCGGCAGTAAGTCTAAACTCAGGCCAGGAACTTGGAGAAGTTTACTTGATGAATGCAAAAGCGTTCGAGAGCTAATTTTAAAGCATGACAAAAGAATCCCACTCAAGCATATGGAATATTGGAAATGTCTGAAATAAAATTCGAATTCTTAAAATTGAAGAAATTTTGAAATACAATTAGAAATGGTGTAGAACAATTACAGGCGTTCACATTACTAGTTTAAATATAGGCACTGTTACGTTTATTTTACCGCGAAAAAAAATTTACGATAAGCGGATATTGTAATTTTATAGAAACTCTAATACTTATTAGCGGATTTAATTTCAAATTATATATTCCTATACAATGTCTCCCGCTGTTTTTAGGGTTTTACCTATGCTGCTCTATAGAAGACAACTTATATTTAAAATTTATTAACAATTTATGGTAAATTTTAGTATTAGGTTTCCCAAAAACACCTCAAGTATCGATGGCAATTAAAATATAATAAATTATTTTTATAATTTCTAATATAAGCAAATTATAAAAAAATTAGCTGAAATTAATATATTAAAACAATTGATATGTGTTTTTTTTTATTACAATGTACTTTTATAAACGTATTTGATTCTTTATCTTCTACTAGATTTACTTGACTTAACGGATAATGATGAGTTCCAGTGGAGTAGACATGCAAACGCTGCTACAGATGCCGTTGTAGCTGTCAATGATGATAGTAATCAAATGTCAAACATAACACGTCATAGTTTAAGCAAGAGACAAGCTATTGCAGCCGGACAATTGCAGGTGAGTTTTTATTAGTTTTTGTTGTTGTTTTTTAAATATTAATCATAATGAAATTGCCAGTCAGTGAGAAGAAAGGGAAAAGTTCTATAGAATTATTTTATTTTAATTAATGCTAATGTAAACGTTATAATCAAATATGCCATAATAAATAATTGAGGGGGTTTGGAAAATGCCACTGTTTTGTAACAATTACAATAAAGATGCAATGCACTATTAAATTCAACATAAGTTTGTTTTAGACTTTTTTATACCCTACACCACTTTAGTGGGGAGGGTATATTGGATTTGTGCTGATGTTTGTAACATATAAAAATATTCGTCCTAGACCCACCTTAAAGTATACCAATCGGCTTAGAATCGTTTTCTGAGTCGATTAAGCTATGCCCGTCCGTCCGTCCGTCCGTCTGGCTGGCTGGCTGTCCATGTAAACCTTGTGCGCAAGCTACAGGTCGCAATTTTCAAGATAATTGGATGAAATTTGGCACGCACGTTTTATTTGACCCAAGGACGAAGCCTATTGAAAATGGTTAAAATCGGTCCATTATTTCACCTAACCACCATAGAACAGAACCCCCCGAAAAGGGCTTCTGAGCTCATAATTATGTTAAATATACAGATATATCGATAAAATACGGCACAGCTAAGTTTTATAGAAGTCTTGATAACCCTGCCAAATTTCATAAAGATCGGGCCCCATTTGTCCCTAGCTCCCATACAAAGTCCCCTTCAGAAAATTACTTGAATGTCCCAAATTAACTTATAAACACAAATATCGCGATGAAATTCAGCGCAATAAAATATTATGTAAATATAAATATATTCACAAAATTTTATCGGGCTTGGTCCATATTTGCCCCTAGCCCCCATATAAAGCCTCTTTCAGAAAATTAGTTTTTCATCCATAAATTGCTTAAATGTATCGGAACAAGGGAATATTGAAGATAAATGCGATATTATGAAAAATAAATCACATTTAATATTCATAACTGGTGTAGGGTATCATATGGTCGGCCACGCCCGACTATACTTTCTTACTTGTTTTAAATGCAATAAAACAGAAATAAATCAATCAATTTTGTTTGCATTATATTTTTTTCCGGAGGTGGGTCTTACTTATTACAGAATTATGATAAATTTGTAATAATGGCAAAAAAATAGATTTTTAAAGTAATGTTTGTTAGTTATCGAAAACTTAAGAATTCCTTAATCTTATGTGATCAAAATTGAAATAGATGTACTTTGAGTCGTGAGTGATATTGTATCCGAATCTGGGTTCAGAATTTCTCTCTAAAAAAACATATATTTGGAATATTGTCTTATCAGGCGTCGTAGTTCCTGAGTTTATCGATTACGAGCAAACATTACTATTTCATTTACATAGATAGATAGAAAGACAGATAGATAGATAGATAGATAGATAGATAGATGATAGAAGATGATAGATAGATAGATAGATGATAGATAGATAGATAGATAGATAGATAGATAGATAGATAGATAGATAGATAGATAGATATACTAGATAGATATATAGATAGATAGCTAGCTAGATAGTAGATAGATGCCTAGCTCGAAGAGATCGCTCGATAGATAGATCGCTCGAGCTCGCTCGCTCGCTCGATAGCTCGCTCGCTCGCTGCTAGCGCGATCGCTCGCTCGCTAGAATCGATAGATAGAGAGATAGATAGCTAGCTAGATCGTAGATAGATAGATCGCTAGATAGATGATGTAGCTCGCTCGATAGATAGATAGATCGATAGATCGCTAGATAGATAGCTCAAGAAGTCGCTAGATAGATAGCTCGATCGATAGATAGCTCGCTAGCTCGATCGCTAGATCGCTAGATAGAGCTAGATAGATCGATAGATAGATAGATAGATAGATAGATAGATAGATAGATATATAGATAGATAGATAGAAGATAGATAGATAGATAGATAGATAGATAGATAGATAGATAGATAGATAGAGTAGATAGATAGATAGATAGATAGATAGATAGATAGATAGATAGATAGATAGAGATAGATAGATAGATAGATAGATAGATAGATAGATAGATAGATAGATAGATAGATAGATAGATAGATAGATAGATAGATAGATAGAGATAGATAGATAGATAGATAGATAGATAGATAGATAGATAGATAGATAGATAGATAGATAGATAGATAGATAGATAGTCGATAGATAGATAGATAGAGTAGATAGATAGATAGATAGATAGATAGATAGATAGAGATGATAGATAGATTAGATAGATAGATAGATAGATAGATAGATAGATAGATAGATAGATAGATAGATAGATAGATAGATAGATAGATAGATAGATAGATAGATAGATAGATAGATAGATAGATAGATAGATAGATAGGTAGATAGATAGATAGATAGATAGATAGATGATAGATAGATAGATAGATAGATAGATAGATAGATAGATAGATAGATAGATAGATAGATAGATAGATAGATAGATAGATAGATAGATAGATAGATAGATAGATAGATGATAGATAGATAGATAGATAGATAGATAGATAGATAGATAGATAGATAGATAGATAGATAGATAGATAGATAGATAGCTAGATAGATAGATAGATTGATAGGTAGATAGATAGATAGATAGATAGATAGATAGATAGATAGATAGATAGATAGATAGATAGATAGATAGATAGATAGATAGATAGATAGATAGATAGATAGATAGATAGATAGATAGATAGATAGATAGATAGATAGATGATAGATAGATAGATAGATAGATAGATAGATAGTAGATAGATAGATAGATAGATAGATAGATAGATAGAGATAGATAGATAATTAGATAGATAGATAGATAGATAGATAGATAGATAGATAGATAGAAGATAGATAGATAGATAGATAGTAGATAGATAGATAGATAGATAGATAGATAGATAGATAGATAGATAGATAGAGATAGATAGATAGATAGATAGATAGATAGAGATAGATAGATAGATAGATAGATAGATAGATAGATAGATAGATAGATAGAGAGAGAGATAGATAGATAGATAGAGATAGATAGATAGATAGATATATAGATAGATAGATAGATAGATAGATAGATAGATAGATAGATAGATGAAGATAGATAGATAGATAGATAGATAGATAGATAGATAGATAGATAGATAGAGATAGATAGATAGATAGATAGATAGATAGATAGATAGATAGATAGATAGATAGATAGATAGATAGATAGATAGATAGATAGATAGATAGATAGATATACAGATAGATATTAGGGTATTCAAACGATTAATCGTCGATCGGTTAATCGATCAATTTTTGACGATTAATCGTTCGAATAAATGAAAATTGCCAAATTTCAAATAACGAATAAACCGAATAACTTATATCAATTAACCGATTAAGAAAAACTTATTATTTAACAATAAAATTACTGTATTTCTTATACAAAATTCAATATTTTTATAATAAATTTTCTTTTTTTATTAATTTCTTAATGAGGGTTACGTTAGAAATGGATTATGATGAAAAATATATATTGGATGATTTTTAAACAATACTTCAGAAACGTTGCAATAAGTTGTTCTGATTTACCTTCTTCAAGAACGGGTTCATGCAGAAACATTTCAGATTTCTGAGAAGAAATCTTGAAAATAATGATATCGCCTTTACTTCTACATCCAGTTTTGAGGAACAGTGTTGTGTTTCTAAAGTATTTCTAATAAGTTCTTCAGCAATACATAATTATACACTAGTTCATTTCAACGTGTAAATTCTGGAACTCGTTAAAAAATCTCAAAAACATGAAATTAATTAACTTAATTTGTTTATATAGAAGAGGATTTCACATGAAAATAAATAATTTATAATATTTGAGAAACTTAATTAAAAAATTTTAATAGAATTGAATTTAAAGAAGTGAAAATTATAATTTTGTTTGTTATAGGATGAAAAATATTGTAAAAAAGAAATAATATTATTAAATAAACATCCACTTTCCTTTTATTCGATTAAGATAGATAGATAGATAGATATGTATGTTATATCCATTGAAACTATTATCGATCGGATTTGAAATAAAGTTCTTTTTTTGAGATATGAAACTGAAACGAATTTTCTATCAATTTACGGCAAACATTTCAACGGACGATATCTCAGCAAATAGAAGAGATATCTTAACAATTCACAAACCTTTTTTAATGGAAAAGATTGTGACAAGTTCAGACTTATAATTTTGGAATCAAATAAAGACGAAATACTGCAGAGGAAATTAAGCTAAAAATGAAGAACACGGCATCCTCCTTCGGTATTATATCTTCAATACATTTACGGAAATTATGCTTGTATTCGTTTCAGTATTACTCCCAAATTATCTCCAAATGACATGTATTGATATAGGATTAACACAAACACCTAAGACCATGATAATCCTTAGTATAAAAGCTTTGAGACTAAGCCCATTAATAGGCTGAATCCTTAATAGCGACGAGACCACTGCCCTTTCTTGAGGAGTACCTCTAATAGTCAGGTTTTGAAACATTTGTATCTCCCAATAATAAATTTAAAGCTTCCTTTTGAGAGTGTCAATAACAACAGAAGACGACAAATCGATTTTATTCCGAAGATTGGCAAGAATATATTTTGAATCCAAGGTCTTATATGGGTAAAAACTTTGGATAGTTGAGAGGTATATAAACATTTCCCTTGTCTAAATATATTTTATATATATATTTTGAATCCAAGGTCTTATATGGGTAAAAACTTTGGATAGTTGAGAGGTATATAAACATTTCCCTTGTCTGAAGTCCTTTGGTTTTCCCCTTCATATATAAATAAAATAACGTACTTTGAAGGTAAGACCAGACAAGACAAATCGGGTCATACCTTATTAGAAGGACGACAAATCTTATTTCGAAGATCGTCACGAATAATATATTCTGGAGCCGACGTCTTATACGGGTCAAAACCTTGAATAGGTCAACGTATTGTATACTCTGTAATAGTTGCGCGGACATTGATCTGTGTAGGCGTTTGATTTTCGATTCTTGAACGGAATTTCGGTGTCCATGAGTAGTTCTAAAGCTATAGAAGAATTGACTTCTATTCTTTGAATATATTTAAAGATTGCGATAAATTTTTCACTATAACGGTAATTAGGCCCCTGATTTACATTCAATTATTTTAGCAGCAGATTCGCGCAGAAATTTAATTAGTTTTTCCTTTCGTCTTTTGCTTTTTTTTAAGGAAAATCTTGATTATGGAGCATGTCGTACTCCAGGTGGAGAGGAAGGAACCTGTCGTCATGTTATTTACTGTCGTATACCGGAATTGAAAGATGATATCTGGCGTTTGGTATCACATTTGTGTGTCATAAAAGGAAGGTAAGAACAAACAAATAGGCATTTAAGAAAAATTGAAATTAATTTAAACCATTTTAAACATTAAGCACCATTGGCGTCTGCTGTCCCACCCGCATTCTCGGCCGCTTGGGTCCACAAGTTATAACCGATGCCAATGATGTGAACCAACAGCCACGTATCGTCAATCATCCTGAACAGCGCGGCTGTGGTATAACTACCAAACAATTTCCTCGCGTCAGCGGCGGACGTCCTGCCGAACCCGATGAATGGCCTTGGATGGCGGCTTTCATAAGACGTGGATATCCTTATATATGGTGTGGTGGTGTTTTAGTTACTGACCGTCATGTCTTAACGGCAGCTCATTGTATACACAAAATCAAAAAGGAAGAGCTGTTTGTTCGCTTGGGCGAATACAATACCTTGCTGTTGAATGAAACACGTGCTAGAGATTTTCGTATAGGAAGTATGGTAACGCATATTGATTACGATCCCTTTACGTATGAAAATGATATTGGTTTAGTGAGAGTGGAAAGACCTACTATATTTAATACTTATATATGGCCGGTGTGTATGCCACCGATTGGTGAAAATTGGGAGGGTAAAATGGCAATTGTGACAGGTTGGGGTAGTCAGAGATTTGGTGGACCACATTCGGATATTTTAATGGAGGTAAGTAGGGAATAATGATTGCTTTCAGAAACATTTGTAACTAAATCGGAAATATCTGTTTTTTTGTAATTTTTCTCTTAAGGTTGACTTACCCGTTTGGAAAATTGAGGATTGTCGTGCTGCTATTGTTGAGCGTGTTCCCGATACTAGTTTATGTGCCGGTTACCCTGAAGGTGGACAAGATTCTTGCCAAGGAGACAGTGGCGGTCCTCTACTGCTACAATTACCCAACAATCGTTGGGTTACAATTGGCATTGTTTCGTGGGGCATACGCTGCGGTGAACCCAATCGTCCGGGCATGTATACACGAGTAGATCGTTATCTTCATTGGATTATTGAAAATTCGGATATTTAATAAAAAATATCTTTATGTTTATTGTTCTTTTGGATAAACGTTAAATGGATTTTTTACATAAAATTGTAAAAAATTATACAACAATTAAAATAAAAACTAAATCATTTTATATGTTTCTATAACAAAGTTCGTTTTGTTTTTGCAATGTTATTTAACAATTTAATAAAACATACAAATAATAAGGTATAGGATTAGAAAATTAAATTAAAAGTATGAATATATTTAAAAAATTATAAGATACGCTCGTTTAATAATGCTTAGCATTAAAAATAAACTAATATTTCGTAATTTTAACTAAAACTATTGTTGGTGCTGCTGTTGCTTTTGGGAGGCCTGCTCCTCCGTATGATCAAATGCGATTTTGTAGACATCTTCGTAGTTAGCGGCAAAGTGCACTTCGATGTCACTGGTTATAAAGGCGGGTAATTCGGCCCAGTCTTTGCGATTTTCTTCGGGTATTATAATGCAAGTAATGCCGCTGCGTTTGGCCTGGGGAAATGAAAGAATCAATTAAGTAAAAAAAACGTTAATAATTATTTTAAAATCAACTTACCGCAATGGTTTTTTCCTTAATACCACCCACGGGCAATACTTTGCCCTTTAGTGACACTTCACCAGTCATGGCTATATTTTGTCTAACTGGTTTATTGGTGGCTAAGGACATAAGGGCCGTAACTATTGTTACACCAGCACTGGGTCCATCCTTAGGGGTGGCTCCCTCAGGAACATGTAAATGTATGTTGCTGAAAACAATTTAGCAAGTTTTTATAAAATTTTCTTTTGAAATTTCAACACCTTCTTACCTATTTTCCAGAAATAGATTTTTTTCATCTAAACCACGCATGAAATTACGTGCCACTGTTAAAGCTATTTGTGCTGATTCTTTCATAACATCACCCAGATTACCGGTGACATTTATCGAACCACTAGTACTTTCTCCCTTGGGAGGTTGTATACTATTACGTTTGGCTGTTTCTATATACAAAGCCGAACCACCCATGGCGGTCCAGGCTAAGCCCATAACCACACCCGGTGGTGTTAGTTCATACATGCGATCCGAAGAGAATACATGTTTGCCTAAATAAGAAGTTAAGTTTTCATTGTTGACATCATGATGATCACCTTCCTTTTTGACTATCTTAAAGGCTACTTTACGTATGACTTTTTCTATTTGTTTCTGGAGATTACGTACTCCTGACTCACGGCAATAGCTGCGTATAAGAGTGCCTAAGGCATCATCATTAATGGTTATGTGTTTATCCTCCAAACCACAATCACGCATGGCTTGTGGTATTAGATACTGGCGGGCTATGGCTACTTTTTCCTCAGCTACATAGCCAGACATTTCAATAAGTTCCATACGATCACGCAAGGGTTCGGGTATAGTGTCAATAACATTTGCGGTGCAAATGAAGAGAACATGTGAAAGATCTACTGGCACATCTAGGTAATGATCTAGGAAATTGGCATTTTGTTCAGGATCTAAAAGTTCTAATAAGGCGGAACTGGGATCACCTTGATAGCCCCTGTAAATGGAAGTTAACGTAAAGCAAAATATTTGAAAAACTTTATATACCAACACTTACTTGCCAATTTTGTCTACTTCATCTATTAACACCAAAGGATTTTCGGTTTTAGTTTTCTTTAAACATTGTATCAATTTGCCGGGCATGGCTCCCACATAAGTACGTCTATGGCCCTTAATTTCCGCCACATCTGTCATGCCACCCACACTGAAACGGAAATATTCTCTATTCAAGGCTCTGGCAATGGAACGAGCTATTTAAAAAGATTTCAATAATTAATTAGTTCCTTCCTTTTGCTGTTTTGTTTTTAAACCTCTCACCTATACTAGTTTTACCCACACCAGGTGGTCCATGGAAGCATAAAATTTTACCCTGTGTCGAACCCTTCAACTGGCTTATGGCTATAAATTCCAGTATTCTCTTTTTGATATCCTCCATACCATAATGATCATGGTCAAGAATTTCGGTAGCCTGTTCCAAACTTAAATTCTCCTTGCTGGTAACACCCCAGGGCAAAGAGGTCAACCAATCCAAATAGTTACGTGTTACATTAAATTCAGAACTGTGACTTTCTAAGAAGTTTAGTTTATTCAATTCTTCATCGATAACGGTCATAACATTTTCGGGCACTGTTTTGTCCTTGAGCTTTTCACGGTATTTCTCTCCAATGGCGTCTTTGTCATCTTTTTCTATGCCCAATTCTTTTTTAATGGCTTTAAGTTGTTCATGTAAAATGTATTTACGATGTTGTTGTTTGACTTTCTCCTCTACCTCACGGCCAATTTTCTGCTGTAACTTGGAAAGTTCTAGTTCTTTTTTCAATATGCCCAAAGCCAATAAAAGACGTTTTGGAATCTGAAAACAACCGCTTTATGTAATACCATTATTTAAAAACTAACAAAATCTTTAACTTACATCCATTTCCTCCATAATCTTTTGTAAATCTTCAGGTTCGGCTGCCGATAAGGAAGCACCCAAATCACACAAATAAACAGGATTATCAACAACTCGTTGATTTTGATGCAACATTTGCTGTAAACTCTCTCTAAAAGAAGAAATAAACTTATAAATTAATTCTACTTAAAAGAAACTTTAATCTTCCAGTTGTCATACCTATACAAAGGATTCATGGTGATAATATCACGTATTGTCTTAATAACTTCCTGAGTTAAAGCTTTAACTTCTTCGGTTTGTTTAAAGTTTTCATGTTGAACATTAACAACTTCAACCATTAACACGGGCATTGGTTCATTTGTGGCCTGAGCATCAGTGGCAGCAGTTGTTTTAGTGGTGGCATCAGTCTCTCCAGTTGCTTTAGCATCTGCGGTGCTAGTTGTATCAGCTATAGTTTCTGTAGTTATGGCAGCAGGAGTTTCTGGTTTCAATTCTCTCTTTTGCAAACGTCCTGGTCTTGCTTTTCTAGACATTTTACGACGTTCAGAGTCTGTTGCGGGAGCGGCCGTAGAAGTTGTACCCGTTTGTGCTGTTTCATCGGCTGGTATTTGCATTTTTATATTAAATAGTGGATAATGTATTGTTGTTGTTTTTTCTGAATAACGATTTATACAAAATATATGTTGCATTTGGACAAAAGTATAGAGATATGCAATAGTATATTTGTATATGGAATATAATGTTTTTTGTAGGACATACATTCCAATTTTTGTTTGTGTATTAAAATGATAATGAAGGAAATGGGTTTCAAGCAAAAAACCTATCTATCTATCTATCTATCTATCTATCTATCTATCTATCTATCTATCTATCTATTTATCTATCTATCTATCTATCTATCTATCGATCGATCTATCTATCTATTCACTGCATTCTATAGAATGATTACTAAACTAACCAATAGATCACTCCATAAACTAGCTTACAGACTATTTAAAACAATAGTTCTGGGGACTAATCGACAGGTTACTCAATAGACTTGTCTAAAATCTAATATATGGACCTGTACATAAGATGGTAAATATACTACAGATTAGTCAATAGTAGTGAAGTAGTCCACAAGCTAATGCAAACATAACAAATCACACCTATAGAATTTTCATAAAGCAATAGGACTGAGTCTGACTGAGTCCATAGACTAGAAAATAGGTCAGTGGAAAAATTAATTGAAAAAAGTCCATAGACTAGCGAATGGATTATGATATAGACTATGTCTAGTTTATATACTACTCAGTAGACCAGTTCATAGACTAGTCAATAGATTAGTCTGTAAAATGATCTAAGGTCTAGATAATCCGAAGCCTGTCCATAGGCTAGTTAATAGATTTTTCCATAAACTAGCTAATAAGCGTTTTAAAATTAATTTAAAATTTTGAAAAATTAATTTTAATTTCAAAATTTGTTTAACTTGGGCGCCAAAATTATTGTTATTCCCCAATAATCTCAATAATCTCTTACATTATTAATAATATTAGTCTGATGGCAACCCTTATATAAGAGAATTTTAAAATAAACAATCTTCACAGATAAGAGTTTTTTTTACGCAAATAAATTAATAAAATAGAAATTTCATGAATGAAATGTTAATTTTTTTTAAATTAATAAATAAAAAATACCTTTTGGTGGCACCAGTTCTTCCAATATCTGTCCAGTTATTTTAATACGTCTATGAGCCACTACCACCATTCTCAACTTATCGCCCAGATCTTGCAGTTCCAATATTTGAGCAAAAGTACCAACTTTATAAACATCATCGAGTCTTTCGACAATTTCCGCCTCATTTTCATTATCTTTTTTCATGAAAACACCAACATACGGCTGATTCAATTTAACTTTACGTCTTATTAAATCAATCAGCTGGGGATTGGAGACCTTGAGTTTTTGGCAATAATATGGAATAAAAGTGAAAACAAGTAAACAAACATAATTTATATAATCAAACGACGAAAAACAACAACATCAGCAAATGCAAACATAACAAAACATACCTCTAGAATTTTCATAAATCTAGGAAACACCGGGTTACGTTTGGTGGCTAGCAAAGGCACGTGGGGCCATACTTCTGGCACTGCTACCGTAGCCGGCAATTGGGGATCTTTGTTGATAATGAAATCTTGTTGTTCCTGCTCCAACAATTCTTCATCATCTTGTTTATTACGGCTACTGCAAAAAGTTCTCGAACATACTCTCGTCACTAGAGCTCCCCTTAATTGTTGTTGTCTTTCCAATTGTGTATTGAATTGTTTTAGTATCAAAGAACGGGGTGCTCCTCTTTGGTTAGCCGCCACCAATTGTGTAATGTTTCGTGCCAAAAAGTGTCTTGGACTTGTGGCCAAACGTGATAACATTCTCAATGTTTTTTACTCTGATCTTTTTAATTAAAAATCTTCCGAGACTGACGCAATTTTTTAATTATTTTCACGCACTACGAACCAGAGCCCTGCGTCGACAAATATTAACGGCGGCGGCGACTGACACTAAATATGTCGGCGGCGGCTTAAAATCGACTGTAAGCCGGCTAAGTTTACAACTACATTTAGTTTTTAAATTTTCAACGATTTTAAATAAAAATGGAATCCGAGAGATCAGAAAGTGGGATTTTGGAAGCAAATATATTGTTTATAACAACAAAACAGAGCAAGCTCAAAAGTTGAGTGAGAAATTATGCAGGGATGAATAAAAAATTCTTAAAAATTAAAAACAAATCCTTTCTCCAAGTTTTACGAGGATCTGCCGATATTTAACCCAATTCTCCATCTAAAACATCTTGCAGGAAATCAGTTTCTAAAAAATTTTGCATTAAGAAAATGATCAATAACGCAAAAACAAAGATATTTTATTTGTTTATTTACTAGCTATACCCAGTGTGCTGTGCTACCCTAAAAGCAATATAAGTAAGAAACCCACTTAACGATTTTGATGATTTTAACTACAATGGTTTTCCAGATATACAATTTGTTACATATGGCAGATTCCACGCAAATTATTGCAATTTCATCAATTATTCCGAACGTTAATTGAGATTTTAATTTAATCTATGAAAAATTTGAATAATCTAATAGTTTCCCAGATATACAAAATTTTGTATTTAATTCATTGAAAGTCCGCCCGTTATTCTCTAAATGTTCTTCAGTAAAAATTGAAATTCTAGCTCTAATAGTTTCTCAGATATACGAATTTTTCTATTTAATTCATATGGGAGCACCAAGCCCCCCAGATGAAAGTTCGACGTCACCGTGATTTTCGGATTAGGGACTTAAATGTGGAATTGGATCAATAATATATATATAATTTAAAGTATTTTTTTTAATTCTACCATAATTCTATCATGATGATAACTTTTGTAATGATGTATTAGCTATAAACTGATTTTCTGTAAGAGGGTTATATTGGCGGACCGATCCTCATAACTTTATTTTTCATAAATGTAGGTTTCGGTTCCTAAAAATGTTTTTTTCGTCGACATCGACATTTGAAATCCATTTATGTGCGTTTAAGTCATTTTCTCAAGAAGATTTCATATACATATTTGCATTACATATTTTCGTTCCAACAAAAATTGTTTTATTATGGTATTACTAAGTACGTAAAAAACGTTAAAATCAATTATTGAAGGGGGCAGGGTCAATTATGGCCTATAGAGATTTCGATTGATATCGAGCCGTTTTTACAAAATGGACGTAAGCGAGATAAATTTTCGTTCAATTAGGATACTGCGGTTTAAATTTTCATTCACTCAAAACCCTGATTGCTTAGTTTTATGTTTTTAGGTTCATTATGATAGAAAATTCAATAGAACCAGTTCCAAAAAGTCCCCTTTTATATGTTATCACTTAATCCGGGCTGTACATTCCTAATTTCATGTTTCTAGGTTCAATATTATAAAAAAATCAAAAAGTACCAGTCGAAGAACGAAAAAGTACCAAAAAGTCCCCTTTTAAATGTTATCACTTAATCCGGGCTGTACATTCTTAATTTCATTTTTCTAGGTTCAATATTATAAAAATTCAAAAAATACCAGTCGAAGAACGAAAAGGTACTAAAAAGTCCCTTTTTATAGATTATAATTTACTCCGGGCTCTACATATTTATTTTCATGTTTCTAGGTTTAATTTTATGGAAAACTCAAAAAGTACCAGTCGAAGTACGATAAAGTTCCCATTTTTATAGATTCTCATTTACTCCAGGCTCTAAGTGCTTAATTTCATGTTTCGAGGTTCAAATTTTGTAGCAAGCTCAAAAAGTACCAGTCAAAGAACGAAAAAGTACCAAAAAGTTCCATTTTATAGATTCTCATTTACTCCAGGCTCTACGTGCGTAATTTCATGTTTCTATGTTCAATTTAATAGAAAACTCAAAAAGTACCTTTTGAAGAACGAAAAAGTACCAAAAAGTCCACTTTTATAGATTCTCAAGTGCTTAATTACATGTTTCTAAGTTCTAAGTAAAAAAAGTACCAGTTGCAACATCGTATTGGGAGCCCGTTATTTTGTATTCATATGTATAAGTTAATAAACCAAAAACAATGTTTTATAAAAAGTACCAAAAATAGGTACAATTTTCACCCCTTAAACGTCCGAATATCCAAAAAGTACTAAATTCATATTTTTATTTGTTCGTCAAGTTATGAAGGATTCAAAAATATTTTTTGAATGTTCTCTGGTTTAAAAGATACATGGGGTGCAGAAGAAGTACCAAATTACAGTTTCTACCCGTTTATTCCCCAAAGGGGCCGAATTTGAAAAAAGTACCAGACACCTGTCCGCTTATTTTTTAAAAGAATGACGATAAGCTTTAAACTGTTTTTGTATCTTTTATAGTTTAGGAGATATGAGGTTACCGAATTTACCCGTTTTTACCATTTTTAACCCCCTAATCATTCGAATTTCCAAAAATCCCGTCTTAGTGGATCTATTTGGTGGAAGACCAACCTCCTGTCCAAATTTCAGCTCTTTAGCTAAAACCGTTTAGGCTCTACGATGATGAATCAGTCAGTCAGTCAGTAACGTTAGAATTTTATATATGTATGTAGATTTCGTGCATTGAATTATACTGTAAAAACATTGTAATGTTCGACTTGAATTCAAGTTTCGTTTTCACTGGAGAATGCTATTGAATTAAAGTGTATTTCAACACTTGAAATTTGAATGTTTGACTGGAATTAAACTTGTTTTAAACTTTAATTCCAGCAAGAATGCTTATTTGGTATAGTGTGACAACTATAAGGGATCTAAAGTCGACTTAAAGCCCACAATGGTTAGTACCAATATTTTGCCCAAACAACATCTACATACCTAGCCAGGTTCTATCCTCTAGGTCCGTGAAGACATTCTCTACAAAGCTATAAATTTGTATAAAAGACGGCTTAACAATTGTTTCTTGTAAATATTCGGCCACCATAGTGTTTGGAGACAACAAGAGCTTCACTGAAAGGCACACCTGACAGACATCGCGCTCTATTATGGGTGTATGGTAGTGATTCTGCTAAGATCAATGGTATAATAATAAGTATGTATCTCAAGGATACCCCTTGAATACGGCAATCAGCTTCCTTCCATTGCCTCTAGGTGATAATATACCATGTCACCACTAGCCGACCGACCACCACCCGCCTAGGCTACTAGGGAGGTATACAATTGCCACTCTCTTGTGGGCATTTTTCCAGGAGACCATCATGATGCCTCCTCTTTCTTGAAAAGAAAGACGTTCTTTATAGACAAATAAATAATTAATTAACACCATTACATACATTTTTTAATCTTCTAGATCTCACAAATATGCCAAATATAGATTTCGATAAACACTTTTGGGTATTAAACGAAAACAAACCCCGCCTTAAAAAAATTTCATCATAATTATTAACAATTTAACTAAATTCAACCCAACACTTGCTGTTTCTTTGTACAATGACCCTCGGTATAGTAGTATAGCATACAATCTTATTAATTTTAATTTTTAGTAAAAAATTATTTTTTTATTTAAAGAATATCATTTCTGTCATTTTAGATTTTCGCACACACACAACAACAGATTTTTTTTTGGCAAATAAAAAATGCAGAAAACAGTTTGGCGCGAAAAATTCTAGCAGAATTTCTTTTCGCAGTCGGCAGAATTGACATCAACTGCACTTCCCATTTGAAATACACATGTTCGATACCCTAGCCCTTTACGGTATGACATACCAGCAATGTAAAAAGGTGTAGCTCCGTTGACGTCAACGAAGCTGGTTTGAAGTCAAAGCAGCGACTCGAATTAGGCGCGAAAACACGAAAATATCTGAGGCGAAGCATATACATCGAACGTTGAACAAAGTTCTACACCGGTTAAATTTCAATGAGCGGCTTATTATTAGATAAAAGAAAACTTGCTTAAATGAAAACAAATTAATTTTAAATTGTAAAATTCCACAAATTTAGCGAAAGTATTCTGTAAATTGTACAAAATATGGCGAAATTTTCAAGCCGTATTAAGCTGAAAAATTTTCGGCGGCGGCGGCTTTGACATTTCTTTCGGCGACTAGGCATAGTCGGCTTAAGCCGAAGAATCGGCGCAAGTCTCTGATTTTCACGCACTACGAACAAGAGCCCCGCGCCGACAAATATTAAAGGCGGCGGCTTAAAATCGACTTTCAACTACGTTTAGTTTTTAAATTTTCAACGATTCAGAAAGTGGGATTTTGGAAGCAAATATATTGTTTATAACAACAAAACAGAGCAAGCTCAAAAGTTGTGTGAGAAATTAAGCAGGGATGAATAAAAAATTCTTAAAAATTAAAAACAAATCCTTTCTCCAAGTTTTACGAGGATCTGCCTATATTTAACCCTATTCTCCATCCCAGCAAAAAAAGTGAGGAAAAAGAAGTAGAATTTTCACCACAAATAACATACTTGAAGTACTTCCAATTTTGTTGAAAAACCTATGAATTTTACATTAGTGTGTCATTGGAGGGATGTTGTTCATGATGTCCAATTATGGACCGAACCAGAAAATTTTTTCTCTGAATGAATTCTATTGACATGAGATTTTAATTTGTAAAATTTTGTGAAGATATCAACATTCTGACTTAAGTTATTAACAAAAAACCCATTTTCCGGGAATATGTACTTTTGTATGGGAGGTATATGAAATTGTGTGACCGATTCTGACAATTTTCAGCAGGGATCAAGCTCTTGTGTAGGAACGAATGTATGGTGATTTTCATGGAATTACCTTGCATAGTTTTCGAGAAAATTACATCAGTATGTGTAAAAAAGCTTATTTTTTTCGAGGTTGTTTTAAATTTTGATTCATAACTTTTCCCGGTGTAAACCGATTTTGCCCATTTTCAATACCAAACAACTTAGGAAAATGAAGAACATTTTGAGTGAATTTGGTTAAACTCTATTGCTTCGTTTTATCGTGAGCGTGTTTTACACAGACAGACAGACGGACATAGCTAAATCGATTTGATAAGGACC